CTACTGTTTCCTAAATGTGTAAAATGTTTACAAAATATTTTTTTAAAATGTAATTTAAATGAATGAATTTACATCTATTATAAAGTTGATATTTGTAGAGGGAACATGTATACTATATTGTCAGGATCTAGACTTTTACATTCTGCAATATAATAAGGTCAGCAGAAGTAAAAGCAGCCTGTCTGATAAATAGCCTAAAGACTATTATGAAGCAGAGGCAAGCAAAATGGAAATACTTTAATCAAAATTAGTGCATATATAGTGATGGACAAATTAATGTTAAAAGAAATTGTATCATCACTTCTTTTAGGATCTGTTGTTTTTGCAGATACCAGACGGGTGGAGATTGAGAAAGAGAAATAAGTTTAAATATCCGGGGTGTTATATTTGCCATCTCCAAAATCTCATGAGTCACAGTGACACTGCTGTGTCTCCTTCTTTTGCAAGGTTTTGTGACCTGAACGCTACTGAGAGAGAACCTGAAATGGTCTGCATTTCCACTGGCCTCAGTTAGTGCAACTAGAAAAGTGAAATTATTGTCCTTATGGCCATCTCCTTACTTATGTTTCTTTTTTTTTCTTCCTCATTATATTTCTTCCCTTTCCTATCTTTGAAATGAGCTATTTTTTAGAAAGTATGTACTTCAGCAAATGAAGACAATATCGATTTGCAATATTGCTGTTAGGTAAATAAAAGCAATGGTTTAAACTGCTGGATGGTAAGACAGTATTTCTGTTGGAGGTTATCTGCAGTACCTCTTTCTGTCTGTTCTTCTTTGCTTTTACTTATGGTTTTGTTTATGTCCTATCTTAAAACAATCAGGAATGTACTTGAATAGCAGTAGCTGCAGCCCAGGTAGGACAACTTTGCCAGAGAGGACATCTATAATCATCTTTAATACCATATATGAAGTCTGACAAGCTAAGTTTTTTCTCCCCTATGAAGATTTATTCTAAGCAGAGGAGTAAAGAACAAGGAGGGGCTGTTAAAAAGCCTTTATTTAAAAGATGTAATAATGATTGTTTGTCAAGGGATAGCAGCCATCAAAAACTCTAATCACGTTTAAACTGTTTTACAGTGACAAAATATGTCTTCTTTCTCTAGCACTTATTTATTCCACAAGCATTAACGTATTGAGTGATATTGTTTTGGTTCTCTGTGACTAGTTATTCTGGTGGCACTGTGACAACTGTATGATCTTTGATTTGATCACATCTTGAAAACTTAAAAGCAATATAACGCCCTAATGCCCTAAAAGGCACAGGCATACTGAGACTACATGTTGTTATTGCAGAGTACATCCATGCCTCCTTCTGTATTTATAGGTGCATGTCTTGCCTTTCATCATCAATTTTCTCTATTATTTGGCTGCACAATTTCCTGTGTGTTGTTTCACAGGTAATCAGTGCCAGCAGGGCCAGTCCTAATGTCTGTGCTGAAATCTTCCATTCTGCCAGGCATTTAGTAACAGTCATATCAGATAAAACAAAAGTTGTAACAGATCCAAAAGAAAATCGCTCAGAAGACTGAAAAGATGCATTCTCAGAATGCTACCTTTGCAGTAATGAGGCAACAAATTAGTTGTAATTCCTTGCATCCTTTTTTACACTGGCATTTCAGACACTGTATCATTTCCACTCCTCTGCTGCCACACTTAGAAAGTAAAATTTCTCCTTTGCCTGCGAGAAAACTAAGGATTTTCTATTCCCACTGGTGAATTGCATTTTGACATCTTCCTGTCACAAAATAATCATAACTTAATTACAGGGGAGGTGGTGTATCCTTCAGAAACTGTTGAGGTAAATCAGGTGCAGTTCCCTTATGAAAATGAACAATCATACACAAAGAAACACACACAATGATAAACACATTTAACGAGTGCAAGGAAATTTCAAAGAAAACTTAAAGATTTGTTTCTTCTATTCTCCACTCTGAAACTAATTTAAAGTGACTAATGTTCATGCATGATGGTCAGTATTTTTCTTATCCCAAACACTGGACTGACAGTGGTTTTAAGTAGATAGGACTTTTTGAAAAAAAGAAAAAAAAAAGGAAATTCCAAAAATTAACATGGGCAAAAAGATTGGGATAAACCGTTGAAAGTGATATGGTCCTCTGTTGCCCTATACATACAAACTGAATAAATCCCAATCCCATTCTGCATCTGAGTAATTAGCAAGGTGAGTGGCCAAAATTTTTTCTTAGTCACATCAAATATCCACTTCAAAGGACAAATACAGAGGGTCAGACTGTTGGGACACATTCATTTCATTCCCCCAGTGGATGTTGAGCTGTTTGACACTAGGCTGCATCCCCTGCCCTTGCTGTGACCATGCTGCACCTCACCACAGGTAGGTAACTGAGATGGTGTCCACCTAACAGAGACATCCAACACCTACCAGGTCCATGGTAGGCCTTTCTTTTGGTCCTGTGCACAGATGGCACTCCGTGGTACTTGCTGCACTCTTGCTCTGCCCTCACCTGTTAGCACTACTCTTCCCACAGTGTCCTTGCTGCCTCTGCAACCACAAAGGCCTCTGGATCAGCCTTGCCAGTCTCTACAGGGGTGCAGCAGCAGACCTTTGCTTAGCCTATGATTCTGTCCATTTCTTTCTCAGATATTGTATTGAATTGGCTCTTAACTTTAAATATCTGCACATATCAATGCATGAAAAGATTTCCATATAATAACACCGATCCAATGGTCTGTTATATAGCGACGTGCAAGGAAGCCTGACTATTCAGCTAGCCTTGTTCACTGCATGGTGTAATATGGGACTGCTCTGGGCTTCTTAGGCTGTGCTAGATTTGGTTATCAGTGCACCTCTGTTATGAGCTTCCCGTTACAGGCCATGACACAAATAACTGTTAAATCTTTTCTTAAGTTTTTACGGAAAATACCTTTTCTGTGGGGGGGGGGGCAGGGGGATGGGGGGAAGGTTATTTTATCAGGTTCACTGAGATGTCTATATATAATGAATGTTCCAGTATCCTTTATTGTTTGGGAAATACAGAACAGGAAAAGCAGCTCCACTATTTACTCATCCAAAGAGTAAGCATAATTATGTATTCCCAGATTTCTATTGCACATAGCAGGAAACGGTTTTATCTTGTATTCATCTCCATGGGAAACAGGTGGTGTTTTTCTCATTCCTGTTTTGTTCAAAGTTCTCTGAGCCATTTCCTATTTCCTCCTGAAAAATAGCAGTAGTGACTGTTTCTATATCATAGGGCTTGAAATTATCAGTTTATGATAGTATTTACAAAAATTTTCTTTTTATCTCAGGGTTTTGCCTTTGGGTTTTACAAAGTTTTTAAAGGACATACCGCAGAACTGATTTTTGTTTTACGTTAGTTTTCTTTCTAAAAGAAAGAATTAAACCTTAAAAAAACCCTTAAACCTTAAAAAAAACACAAACAAACGTGTCTCATAATTAAGTAATGGCATATAAATACATGAGAAATCAGAAGCTGTGCAATCTGCAGTGTCTTTGGAAGTCCTGCAGTCTCTGGTTGGAGCCTGACTTCCCTATGAACTCAGCCAGCAGTGTATCATGTCCATCAAGTGCAAGAGGAAAAATGACATCTCAGGAGGAAAAGTATGTTTGCATCAGTCCACCATGTTTTATGGCAACCACTGATAAAACCATTGAAGTTCTCCAAAGGGTTATTTCCATTCTAAGCTATGATCATTAATATTTTAGCTTTGTTGTTTACAGTGTATCTAGAGAAAGGCAAATGCCAGAGGTAGCATGAGTGTATTATATGGTTGTCTCAAACTGGTCAGACATAGGCATGGAAAATCTATTCCAGATGTGGAACCAATGCTCTCTTCTCCTTAAAGGAGAGCTTTAGCATTCTGCCAACTTTTGGTCAATCGGAGACCTTACGCATTGTAAGAAATTCTACAAAACCACCCATGAAAGAAAATCTTTCCCATTGCAGATATTGTAGAAGCTTCTGTTCTCTAGTCCTACTCCTCTGTATGCTTCTCTGTTGAAGCCTCCTATAGCTTGCAGAAAAGTTTGTGTATCTCAGCAAAGACAATACATTTCTTAAAATACACAGAATGATAAACTATCCCCTGAGGCAAAACCTGCTGAGTACACTTGAAGAAATTGTAATTTCTAAATGTGAAAGGAATCTAATGAAGTACATTGTGAAATGAAATTACAACAGAAAAGGAAAAACATAATTAAAAAAAATGAGTTAATGATTACATTTCTATAAACTGGAAAGTTATATAATGCAGCGTATAGATAACATATCTCAGCATATTGAAAGCATCATTATTGAAAAAATATCCAATGGATAGATCATCTACTGTCATATTTTTTCTTATTATCTTGAACCTGGTAGAAAAATGGTAATATTTATAGAATAACAGAATAATACAAGGCTACAGAAAGAGGCATAAGTTCAGACTAGAAGTAGGAATAAAGGAAAGTCTTTTCAATTGTTTTTTTCTTCTATTGCAGTAAGGAAAATATATTTAATTCACAGATCTGGGTATTATAGTAGGTTTTACATGAATGAAAAGATGATACTGTAAACTGAATCTGAAAATATAGAATCATCAGTGTTTCCCATTATAACACTGAAGTACTACAGTAGAAAAAATAATGTAAAGGCATAGCTAGTGATTTCCTCTATGTAAATGGCAGAATCCCTACATTAAGTTAAATAAAACAATTGCACTTACTGACTTAGTAAAAAACTCTACAGTTTTGCTCTGATACCTCTAGAACCAACACTTTAGTCATGATCATTTATGTTGAACATGTATGGGTACCTAAACAAAAACAGATCATCTGTAGCTCTTAGGGAATTTTGAAAGGAGTAAATTTTTGTGAGAGATTATATGAATTCATTAATTTTATATCTATGCAGGGAGAAGACTATTTTTGGTGTAGGAAAAAAAAAAAGTGGCCTAAGATGTCGCTGATTCCAGTTGCATAGATTAAATTCTGTTATCTGAAACATACAGGTATTTTGCCAAACTACATGCCAGTGTGTGCATCCTGTTCTTGGATATCCATGGATGCTTGTGTTCCTCTCATTCTAGTTGACGTATCTAGTTGATTTTGTTTTTTCTTGAACTTCAGGTAGAAATAAAGTATACTTCCAGCTCCAACAATAGAAAGGACTAGAACAACAAAGATCCAAATGATGCTGGTGGAAAATACTTTCTCCTTTTTCTCTCCTGTAAGTGGATGAAAAAAAATCAACACCTTTGATTTTAAGAGATGTCAGAATCCAGTAATAAGTGAGATTTTCAGTCTAACCAGACTTCTTACTAACAAAAAATATATAAATTAAAACCAATTAAGAAAAAAATACAATTTTATATATTTCCTATAACAAGGTACAAATGAAATTTAAGGAGTTTTTACTTTGAAATGCTTTTAGAATTAATATTTAGAAAGTATTTTATTATGTGCGTATCATATGTTAGCACCTCCTTAATTCTATTTAAAAGAAGTATGCTTACCTTTATTTTCTGGTGATATCTCTGCTTTCTCAATAGCTTTCAGAAAGAAAAGAAAGAATTTATTTTGAATGTTCTTAAGGGAAATTTTGAAGTTTTTAACCCACTTCTTCACCTGTTGGTGATATTTGAAGTCCCCTGAGAGATGAAGCTAAGAATGTGCAAGCTTCTAACTTGACTTCCTCAGTCAAGTTACCCAATGAAAAATGGGATTATAGTAAAATTTCTGCATCTTCTAAAACTGTTTACATATATATTTATTTTGAGAAACTGCCTTTTAGACTTGAATTATTTCTTAGACGTTTTCTGAAATGGGAAACATTTTCTGAATGGAGGTCTCATCCATATTGGAAATATCTCATGAGTATCTTTATTCGCAAGAATGCTGTGCTGAAAAGAATCTCCTGTGAATTTAACCTCCTGGTTGAAGGCAAACATTCCTTGTGATTGTGTGTATGGAATGAACAGAATATTTTTGTAATGTGGCTTCCTAAACTTACTAGGTAAGGGAAAGATTAACAGAAATACAGAGCTAAGAAAACAAAATATTAAATTCAACTTCTCAATTGTTTAGCTTAATCTCATTTGGTAATTCAACTTGTGAATATTTTTTTCAGATGATCATTTTGCTATCAAAAAAATACTATTATTCAGTCAAATATGATTCTAACACACTGTGGATAAAGAGTGCCATAAAAATCTATGTAAGCATATTCTTCTAGTCTATCAGTACAGAAGAGAGCAAGGAATCACCAATTTCTGCATTTATACAAGATATGTCAGTAAGACTTCTTGGAGGTCATATATTCAGCTGACATGAAATGATAGATGTTGCTTTCAAATTTAGGGTCGTAATTTGGGGCAAAATACTGGTTTTAGTGAAAACCCACTTTTTATGCCCAATGAGTTGTCTCTGGCCATTCATTTCCTCCACATTGGTGACTGAAGCATCCAGCCTGTTTGGGGCTGGTGGCGTTGTACAGGAACGCAGGGGAACGCAGCCTTCTGAGGAAGCAGCTGGAAACTACGTGGGATACGCGATGGTTCTGGAACCCCTAGGATTTAGGCAGCTGAGTCATGTTATAGGTGTCTATTGTTTTTGCACATACCATATCATTCTATATCCTATAATCATTACAGTATGCACACATAGGCTTTACCTATAATTTAGGTACATTACTAGGCATTATTAGCTAGAGCTAATATAAATATTACTTACTTTTCATTTTTTTACAGATATATCCTTTTTTGAAAGAACAGACATTGCTGTTCCAGTACCCAGACAATGCTGATATTTCTCCACAGTGCTTATTCCTGTTGCCTGAAGGTTCTGCCATATTCCAGTTGACAAAATCCACTGCAGTTTTGTCTGTCCACACCCATTCTTCTGATGTTTAAAATTAACATGTATAGGTAAAATACAATGTTTTAGCCTGATAGAACATAGGATGTGGAGAACAAAAAATTTACAGCATGAATAGATAATTAAATATTTCAGTTAAAATTGCATATATAAGCATGCCTTGAAATACATTTTATGTGTTTGATAGGCATGTTTACTTTCAAGCATAAAATGTTGCTTTCTTTTTAATATAACTTGTAGCATCATTATGTATTGTCAATAATATATGATTAAATACTTAGGATATTACCATTTTTCTTCAGTCCTATCCAAAAGTTTGGTGATTTTCCATGAAGTACTTTAATGCTGTCAGACAGAAAGTTTGCTTCGGCATAGTCTTTTATTGATACCAAGTCAGCAGCTGAAAAGCACAGAACAACGAACACATTGCAGTGCTCCATTTTCTTAAGCTTAGTGGCCAGTTTAAATCAATAAATATAGAAATCTTGTATTCTTGCACAGAATATTCACTAGTTTCATGTTTATTGTATCCCATCCAGCTATTTTCAGCACGGCTGTGACTCTGTGGATGCAAGTTAGCACTAAGACATGGATTTTAGGCTAGTGTGTAGTATCCTGGAGAAAAAGAAGTGGACTCCTGGACTTCTGGACAGGTCTAATGACATCCAAAAATGTGATGTTGATACGCTGACAGTAATACCTGTGATGCATTTTTTTTCTAGTGATTATCTTTCTATAGACTATTTTGTGAATTTTATTGTCAATTTTAAAGTAAAATGCCCTTGCAAAGCTACTTTTTTATTTACCCAACCATAGGCCAGCACTGTAATACATAAGATAAAATTTTACAAGACATCCCTGTATTAGCTCGTAATCCTAAAAGAGTAATTAATCAGAAATAGAGATCCACACAATTATTGCTTTTAATAAAACTAGAAGATTCTAAGAGCTCAGCATTTGAGATATGAAATGTATCAAAGAAATTTGAGGTATCAAAGATACCTCTGTTTCTAAAAATACTTAGTTTTATAGTGAAACAACATAAATATTTTGGGGGGGAAGAAAAGGCTAAAAAGCATTACATTTAAAGGTTTTAAGTAAGACTTTCTTAACAATTTTATGATTTTACATGTCTTCAGTCTTTCTGAAGCACTACACTCACCCAGTCGGGTACATTCCTGGTAAGCTTGAGACCAGGTTCTTTTCCTGGAGGCCTCAAAGTAATAGCAGTGACCATGGAAAGGTATCCAAGATTTGTGTCCTTTTGATTCTGGACATTTTCCAGGGAGTTCTGGGGGTTCAGTAGGTGCTATTTCTGATAAAAATGAGATGATTATTTTCTAAAACTCGTTTTTATCATACATTAGTAAGGAAAAAATATATTATTAAAACATTACATAAAAATAACAAACTAATTGTATTAGATTTGTCATCAGAAAAGAAATGGAAGATTCTAAAAAAATGAATATTGTTTGGATTTTGTATTTGAGAGCAGAGTAATCAAGGCAATTAAGAAGATACACTAGTTTTTAAGAAGCATAGATTCTGTCCATTTATGTTTTTTAATTACTCTAGTTAATAACATATGCAGCTAGATTTTTGCCAAAAATCTGCCTACTTACTTAAAACTGTTATTTTTAAAATGTCTTTTGACACTGATTTTTTGATGGGATCAAAACTGTATACTGGAAATTTGAATATGAATGAAAATGTTGGTACTATTCAACATGGCTTACAGGTTTTTTTGTTTTATCTAACACAGATCTCTCTTGCTTTAAGTCTGTTATGCCTTATCAAATATTAAAGGGAAGAAAAATTGATTTCTTTAGAGCGGTGTTTCATTATATAAAATGATACCATGGTTTTCTCTTAGTCCTTTGTTCTATAGACTGTCAACTCCACTTTCCTTACAATTCTTGTTTCCTACTTATATGCAAACCCTATTTGACTGGCATCCTTTGCAAACTTTAGAGTCCCAATCTGGATGCAATATTCCATATCAAAACAGACCTCATAGTTAGTGGATGAGTTTTCCTATTAGAATGAATAATTAAGAAACCAATGCATAATCAGTCCTATGTTTTTCAGAGTTCCAGAGATGAATAATATGAACAGATTGACTTCTGGGAAGAATTCATGTTAATTTTTACAACTACAGAGTTAGCTGTTCATGTCATACTAGTCCATAAAGCAAGAATTCTCCCAGTTTCTAGTGGTATTTAGCTCAGTTGATAAATCTCTTCAGTCTACAGTCTACATTCAATTGCTTACCGTCAGATTTTTTACAGAGGGAAAAAAATTCTTCCTTGCATGAAGCTGTCTTCCAGGTTCCATCAGTGTCTACATAAACACATGCCCATTTCTGTTTCGGTTCCCCACTGGACCACTTACTGTAAACCAGTCTCCATTTGTCAATCCATTGATACTTGCCATTGGTCTAGAAGTAAAATCTACATGGTAATATCAAGGTCGGCTTGAGTGATGTACACAAGATCATCCAAGGACTTTCATAAAACTAGTGTAGAATCATGTGCTTAACAATGCCACATTTTTATGCTTGTAAATGCTTATTGCAACAAGATGTATAGTGTCTGCTATATACAAATATGAGCATAGAATAATTTTTATACCCTTTAGAAAAGCATCTAATATTAATACAAAATATTTTTCAAGCACTGAGAAATAGGGAGAAATTAATGGGACATGAAAGAAGGCACAAAACTGGGAGTGAAATAAGATATCATGTTGGTACCAGCACCCTGCAAAGCCCTGCACACAGATATTGACTGTGTGGGTAGAAGTGTTCATCAATAACCATTACTTTGTTGTAGCTACTGTGATGATGATTCATGAGGAAGAGCATAGCATGTCAAAACACACCTACAAGCCAAATGTTCACCTTCCTCTTCTCTATCATACAACCGAAGTAGACATCTCAACAGATATCTGCTGAAGTAAACAAAAGATTTGCCTCTATAATATTCTAACAACTAAATGGGGAGTACTACACTAATTGCACTTTCAAATGAAAGAATAAATGTGTAGGTCAATATGCTCAGGTCCCGTATCATCCAGGCTTCAGTTTCCTTTAAATAATTTTTGCCATTGTTCCTGTCCACCCTGTATTTCTCTGCTGCTACCATAAATAAGACTACTTTAAGAGAATACATAAACACATGCAAAATACATTCCTTCCCAGGTCTGAGGTGTGCAAGCTAAGATACAATGCCACAGGTCACAGGAATGCATAAGCACATAGAGGGCAGGATGTACTCATGCATGTTGATTTTGGAATAACTTTTAAATTAAATAAAAATCATAATGTGGGAGATACTATGTTATCAACTCTTTAAATGGCTTCAGACAATTCACTGCATTCCTCCACTGCACTCCTCACTCACTGGAGCTTTTCCCTGGGCAAAAGCATCTAGGAGTTCTTAATTCATTAAAATCTCGTGGCTCATATTTGTTGAACTCAAGAATTAAATGGGTACGGTATGGACATAAATTGCTGCTTTCAGTAATACACTGACAGAATTTCTTACAGGTTTCAAGATGAGAGGATGCAGTGAGATTCTTTTAAGCAAAGAAAGCTGGTACAGTGTAAGCCTGACTCTGTGTAGTGCATGCATTCTTACCATGTGGCTATTTAGACCAATCCATAGAGGCTCTTTATATTCTTGTGCAACTAAGAACACCAGTGATTGACCATATGGATCTAAAATGCTGACAAGTTCTGAGGCTTTGTTATTACAGGATTTTTGTGCTTCTTCCCAATTCATTTTGGACTGGATGACAGAATAGCTAATTCCATCAGAATGAGCAGAAACAAAGTCCAACAGTGTTGCTGATGAGTTAAAGAATTTCGGATCTGTAGGAATAACAGAGTTAAAAAAAAAAAAAAGAAAGAAAAAAAAGAACAGGTAAATCCAGAGGTCACATATGTGATTTTAGCAACACAATAACATCATCATTATTTACAGTGCAGGTAGAAAATTGCTAATTAGAACAGAACACTTCTCCTTACATGTTTATGAGTAGCAGATAATTTCAAAACAACAGTGAACATTCTGCATGAAAGGAATGTATTGTCAGCCCCTCTCCTCTCCTCTCCTCTCCTCTCTTCTCCTCTCCTCTCCTCTCCTCTCCTCTCCTCTCCTTCCAACTGTATATTCAAACTGTTCTTCTCTGCCTAGTATAATTATCAAGTTTATTTGGAAAAATGTAATGCTTGCCAATTATGATGATGTATAGGTTACTTATCAACTTGTGCTATTAAAAAGTGGTGTTTTAGTTGCTAAATTATGTTATTGTAAAATAAAAATATTTTGTGTGCCTAAATTATAGTATTTATCATTCCCTTTTCCAAAACACTGCTAAGCTTTACAGAGAAGAAAGATGGGCTGTGGATTTTTTAGTTTTAGTTTTACTGGTCCTTTACTTGAAAAAAATTTGAAACAGTCATCTAAATCATATTAAAGAAGAAAAGTGATTTTAATTAATGTATTATAAAATTCAAGACTAGCAAAATAGAACTCACCGCTGTTTTTCTGGCATATATATCCTCTGGAGCTATAACATGGTTCATCATTCCATTTTCCTGTGTCTTCAACATGACCTCGCTTCAGAGAAACGCAATCAAACTTTTGAAGGAGGGAAAGGAGTATGAATATTAGAAGTTAAAAAAAAAAGAAAAGTAAACCTGGGACACTTCACTTTCTTTTTTTCCTCGCCTGTCCCAGTATACTTGTAAATTCTTTGGCAAAATCACAGTAAGGATTTGGCGTCTTCTGCACTGAGTCAGAAGCCCAAAAGACTGAATCACTGAAACATTGTATCTCTAAGTGATATCCCTCTCCTGATTTAGCTCACAGCAGACTACAAACAATATTTACCTGTAGCAGATTGTGGCCATCTTCTGGGCGTAGGGTGTCGAACAAATAAATTTCTTTAAGTTTGGGGCAATCTGAAGCCCAGTTTGTATAAGAAACAGCACTTCCATCAGTCCAAACAAAGTTGAGTTCACTGAGTATATCATTCAAGCCAATCCAGAGATCATTTGATGCTTCCTTCAATTGGTAAGTAAGAAAAGCTGGAAAAAGGCCATAGAAAGGAAGTTTAACATGTCATCATTTAATACACCAGCACATAAAGAAATCCTTAACTATTTTCATTTTTAGAGTCTTGTAAATACATTTTAATTGGTATTTGATTGGAAATGTACCCAATTTATTTATGGCAAACCAAAGGTCCAAGACTTTGTCTGTGAAAACTCTCAAAAAGTGGAAATATTTGCAACTAATAAGCGAGAGTAGTTCTGAGAGAGGTGAGATAAAATATCTGCCTGACCATCATTGTATCAACCTAATCATTTATTTCAACAATTGGAATGGGCTAATTTACTGATGGAAGCTACACAGGTAGGTACATTTAGCTGCAAGTGGAAGCCTGAGAACTTAGTCAAGTTGAAAATGTGTCTTCATGTGACATTGCTACAGCTGAATTAGTTTGTAGATTTAGGGCAATATAGAGAGATATAGTGACAATTTCTGGCAGAAGCAGGCCATGACTTCCTTTGCTATCTCTTTATCGAAAACTACAAACATAGGGTCTGGATTTATTATTCTATGCTGATAATTCATAGTCAATGAATAAGTAAATAAATACATACATACATAAAGACTCTTCTGTGGAACAGGAGGAAGTAACCCTTAGCATCATTATCATGCTGGTTTGAATTCTTCCAAAGAAGCTTTATGCCATGGCTGTATAACCCATGTAGGTATATGTACTTTCAAATACACACATTGGGTCTTTTTGCCATGCTCTTCTTTGCAGGCAATGACCATTGTGAACAGAACAAACACTATCATCTGAGACATAAGGGTGGTTGTACAGTACCTTGCACTTGTTCGTTGTGTATGCTCGCCAGGTGTCCTCCAAGGCCGGTGCAAGCGCGCTGTGCCGTGGACCAATACACATAAGCGGAGCCAAAAATTTTGTAGCACTAGGGAAAAATGAGTTAGATTGTTAGTGAATGATAGCAAAAGGAATAGGGTTTGAATTACACTAATTTTAGTAGAAATTATTGTAATTATGAGTGTGCCTAAGAAGGCTATGCTTTCACCCTCTGTTCTGCAGCATAAGACTGTGTAGTTTGTGGGAAGTAACTCTGACAGCTATAACAAATCAGGAATTTCACTATTGTAACAATACTCTGTATATTCTACATATTCTCTAGACATAACTTAATAGAGCATTAGAGTTTGTCTCTTTGGAGGTGAGGGAAGGATTAAATTGATTTTTTTTAAAAAAAATCAGACATTATTTGTGGTTTGTTCCAGCTCAGGTAACTGACATGCTCATAGTCGTGCTTTCAGTTGAATTCAGTCAATTTTTCCTTTTTAAGAAGATACAGACTGTGTAACTATTTTGTCAATGTGTCTCAGATGACCTCTTTTCAGAAAAATAAAAATGTGTATCTACAAAGTCATCATTTTGCAACAATTATCTAACTGATCCAATATTTAATGCAACTTTGGATAATGACTATCAGAACAGAACAGAGGAACAGAAGGTATTGCTTTTTATACCTTCCCAAAGATCCATATTACACTTAAATGAATGATATCATACCTGATTTTTAAATAAAATCCAATCTTCAGGACATCCTCCTGGGGGTGGAGGTACCGTTGGAACAAGCGTAGTATTTATAAAACTTCTGTACCTCTCACAGATAAAGCCATGTGAGAAACCACAGTGGACATCATTCCACAAGCCTGGATATTTAAGATAAGGAGACAATGAAGATGATTGAAATTTGTGGAAAAATGTACTGACTTCCATGCATATAGCTTCTGTCTGGCCATGTTAGCAGGAGTGATGGCATGTTTCAGCTCTATTCTCCACCCCAGACCTTGATCTCGCTGTGACTGAGGGAACAGTGGCTATATGAGGCAGAAGACTTATGATATGGCTTATATAGCAATCCCCTAACCGCTATGCCAAACCCACCTTTCTCACACTCAAAAGTGCAAGTGTAAAGAAACAATTTATTAGTAAAAACACAATTAAATGTGAAACTCCATATACATATTAGGTCCTTAGGTATATATTCTGTTCCTTGGCTCACTATAATCATGTTTGAAAGACTGATTTGCCATTGATTTGAAGGGAACTTACTCTTTGCACAGCTGAAAAATTACTGCCTCAGTCTTCCCCTTATTCACCATGAAAGTCATAATTTCTTATATTCCATTTTCATGATCATTTTTTCCCCTGAATCAACCCCATATGCATTGATACTGATAGAAATACTTTCTAAAATGTATCTCACCATCTTCTTTCTTTAAGACCACACAGTTTTCTTGACTAGCTGCAAAGTTGGGCTCATCTGGTGCCCAAGCTGCATAGTGGACTGGGCTTCCACCTACCCAACTGAAGAAAAAAAAACAGAAGCAACATAGTAGCTGTTGGTCAGATAATGTTCATGAAACAGTTGAGAAAAATCTATTTTAACATAGCAATCATTTGCTAAAAATACCTCGGTTCTGAAAATGTTGGCAGGTGAGTATATCTGTCTCTAATATGCATTTCCACTGGGGTTAAAATGCCTCAGATAATGAGTTGAAAGAAATAATGAGATTATTTCTATCAGTGTTTGTCTATGTATTCATAGCATGTAGTCTTTAAATTATCATGATTTTATAGTGTAGATAAACCATGGGAGAACACGTGTTTCTACATGTAATATAACTCTCTGAAACTGCTTTTACTCCCTTGTACAGAGTTTCCCTTCAGTAAAAATAGTAAAAAAAATAAATAAATAGTAAAAAACTTCTGTAGTGAATGTTGTGAGTGTTGATATAAGTTGTTTACCTACCTGAACTGCCGATCAACATCCTGAATTAATCCTATGAGATATGAATCCAGCTTGCCACTTTTTAAGATCTACACACAAAGATATACTTTCAGTTACTGCTTGCTTTTACACTGTAATTATCCCATTTGAGAAAATTATTTATCTGTCACTAAACAAAATAGATGAATAAACGATCTTTTGTAGTCATTAGAGAGGACCACCATTGACATAAATATGGTATATCACATACTTTGGCTTCATTATCCTTACTGCTGCTTCCCTAGTTTTGACTGCATTACTCCTCAGAATAAAGTTTTAGAGCTGGTTCATGATCTTTTTTAACAAGCAAGGAAGATTGGAGGAAGAATTTAGTATAAATGTGTTGATGCTTCGGAGTAAATAAATTTAAATGTCTCGAGCTGTCCGTCCTCCTCTGCCTTCGCCTTCTTCTCTTTCCCGTCTCCTTCCCCTTCCAGTGAGAACAGTGAAAGCCGTGTTGTTGGGCAGCAGGATGCAATACGTGGTCAGCAGAGCAGTGGCTGGCAGTGGCTTCAAACCTGCACATGGCACCGCACTTGAGGTGTTCAGATGAACTAGGGATAGCTGGCCCTCGAAAAGGACACTTCTCTCATTTAAGCTGCCTCTTCATTACCCCTTATGTAACTTTGGTCTTGGGCAAAGCTCCCTTTAGATTATCATATGGAAAAATGTGCCCACTCTAGTAAATGGTACATTGTTTTGTCTTTATTTTCCTAAAGAGAAGGTCTATTCTTTTTATTTCCTTTTCTTTTCTTTTTTTTTCCTAAACTTTTAGATGTACTGTGAATAAGATATAGTAACAGTATTATGTTGCAAGCTTGTTCTGCTGTAGGTCACAAGTGCATGTAGCAGAGCATACACACCATCTATAGTGAAACACATAGTAAAATTTCTTCTTACATATCTCCACAAAAACATTCTTTCATCATTATTTCTAATAGTAACAATGTCTCCATAATTGTCTTTGCAGAACTTTCTGGCTTTTTCCATGGAGGTATGTTCTGTGCTGAAAAAATATTGTTTGTTCCCTTTTATAACCCAGCCATCTTCAGTGACTTCATACACTGCAACACAGAAAAGGAATCACTGTTTTCTGTACCAGTCTTCTATGAAGCGGCTTTATGTTACACACTATTACTCTTTGGAGAAGAGAATATGAACAAAAAACTTACTGGCAGAAGGGCTTGCTGGTTCTGGTTTCAAGGGTTCCCCTGTATAAAAAATTAAAGATGTAAAATGCTTCCTGAGTGCTCAGTGAAAATGAAATACATATCAATCCGTTTTCTGTGTTTAACACACTCTGTGGAGAATGCATTTGTTCAAAATTTTTGGTGTAGAGAAAGAGAGTATGTTCCGGGAATAACAAATGTGTTTGTTACAGCTCTACATCACTGTATCACAGATTTTTGTTAAGTAAGTGCATCCTTTGCATCTTGAGTGTTGCCTAAATTTGGTGAATGCAGTTAGTTTAAGTGATTATTTGTTTCTGAAAGAAAATAGAAGAACTTACTTTTAAGTAAGGCATGCTGAGACAAAGTGACTTGGTTAGGATCAGATTGTTTTCAATCAGTCACCAACTTGGAAATGATCTTTGTTTAGAAAAGCAACTTTTTAAATATTAATCCCGACTGCTGTGTGAAGGAACCCAAAAGGAGACACTATTTTGAAAGTGTGCAACAAAATATGAAGTTGATTCTTTTAACACTGCATATATTTCATAACAGTTATTATACTTCGAAAAAACAGAAGTATAAACATAGACAATTCTTCTACTCATATGAAAGGAGGATGTGAATGCACCTACTGTCTAAACGTATATAAATTATGAAGCATAGGTTATTGTCTTTTCATTATAGCAAAGCTGTTATCTCACTTTTTTACATGCCATCTTACACAGAGAATGATTCTAATATGCTGGTAGTCTTATCTGAATGAAATTAGGCAATTAATTTGCTCTTGAAGTCGGTGAGTGGAGAATAGAAATTTCACTTCATGTAGCATATTGTGATTTCAAGTAATCTTTTTTACAAATTGTAACACTCACTTTCCCCTTCAATCCTCCAATTTAGAAGTTCCCTACAAGCAAAAGTTCCAGAAAATGTAGTCTCCTGTCAGGCAAACCTGCTCTTTTAGTAAAATCTGCTTCTGGACAGAGTGATGGATTTTACCAGATGAGCCCTTCAAGTGGCTTTCCTCATATTTTCTATGATTCTGTAAGTAGATTACATATACTTTCAATGTAACTTATGAAATAGTACAAAAATTTAGAAAGGTATAAACAAAAAAAAATTAACAGTTGGAGTATTACATTCTGAAATTATTTCTGTGCTTTGATTCATTTTTCCTTATGTAAAATCCCTATGAAATCAGCTACATTTTTTGAAGTATGTAACTCGGACAGCTTCCTATTTTTGTTGTGTGATTCATCTTAAGTTTCCACAGACCACCTCTACTGTGAGCTTAGAAAAAAAGCCTACCTTTCTTTATTTCACAAATCCAGTCATGCTGGTATTCACAGGGCCTGTTAATCCATAACATGGAATCTTCGCCGATTGCTCCACAATATTCAAACTGAGTATTGTGAAAATATTTTGAATTCTTGTAATTCACCTACAGTAGAAATACAGTGTTGATTTTTGTTCTTCTCTCACAAGGAAAGGAGTTTCCAATCATGGAAACATCTCCAACAATGAAAAAGTCAGAAGGAAACTAGAAGCATCTAACACTCACTGGTGATCCATCACTCCAAGAAAGTCCACCGTCAGGATCCAAACAATGTAAACCCATCCAGAAAGGCTGAAATGATGGGGATTTGCTTCTAGAGTGAAAAAAAGAGAAAAAAAAAGTATCTTGGAAGAAGATTAAATTTTACAAATTCTAAAGGAAAATAACACCTTTATTAGAGGTTTAAAGGAGTAGTCAAAGCTTTGAAACAAATTATACAAATGTACACATCTGCAAAGACCAATTTAAGGAACTCCAAAAAAAGTATTTAGAAATTGGCAACCACATGAAGGGTTTTTTTCAATTCTTGTGACAATGGCTATAAACAGAAGTAGATCTTAAATGAATTCTGTCAGAAAAGAATCAAGAATATGTTTGTTTATTCCTATATAATGCATTGTTACACCAAAGAATCAAGTATTTGATGTTCACTTACATTATTAAACTTTCTATCAGTCTTTGCTCTTCTTCATTTCTAATGGCAGCCAGGTCTCCTCCTATTTCTCTGCAAAAGTCTCGAGCCTCAAACCATGTTTTCTTTTGGTTTCCTTCTCTCACAAAAATCTATAGAGGAATTTTACAGTAGAACAATTTACACTGAAAATATTAAAAATAAAACTAATTGCCTTGTATAAGCAACATAGGAAAGCAGTAAATTATAAATAAGCATGTATAATATGGGTTAAAGAATATGCTACTTAGCTAATTTTACATATCACTGACACAGTGATACCTGATTTACATTAATAATCTATATAAAAACTTAGTCATGTGAAATTTAGACTATCTATTTAATACTCCTGTCTCATGAGCAGGATTGCTGTAAAAATTGCTACTTACTTTGAAGCATGAATTAGTACTACTGTTTGTATTCCAACCCAAAGGACATGTAGAATTTGAAACTGTTTCATGGGTAAAAGGAGGAGTGATTTTTCCAGCTAATTTTTTGCATAGAAATTTTGCCTTCACTTCGCAGTTCTGCACATCCCATAATCCAGCTGTATTTCCAGCCGTCAGGACGACACAACCTCCTTTCTTTCCTTTGTGAGATATAAAACAAAATTGAACAACATTTCAAAGTGTTTCCCCTGCTCTCTTTACAGCTCATGCGATTCTTTTTTAAAACACTTTTGGAAATAGAAAGTGCAATGTCTGCTCAAAGAAGGAGCTTTTAAAGAGAGGAAAGCAGCAGGCAGAGTCCTTCATGATTTGAAGCTTGAAAAGCTTGAAAAGCTTTAGAACTCAAGAGCATAAGCACCCTGCTGCCTCTCCCTTTCCTCACTGAAAGGGTTTGGCAGCCCATCACCTAGAAGTGATCTGAAGCCATCAAGGGGCTTACAAGCTGCTGCAACACCCTCACCGTTACTGCATTGCCTATAGAGAATGTGAATGTGTAAGGTGAGACCTTCTCATTTCACTTCAGCCACCTCATAATTAAGTTTTTGATGAGCCTAATTGTTAGATTCCCTCTCTGTATAGTCCCCAAAGAGCATGTTCAGAAAACTCATCACAATTCTCTTTTTCTTTCTTTTTTTTTTCTACTCAAGCAATGAGTAGATTTGGCTGCAACTATAGAGCAGATATTTAACTTCTAGGTGATTTAAGTTTAATGAGATGAACCCCATCCTAAACATTTAGGGATATACCATAAACTGTGAAATGAAGCACAACAAACAGGTTTCTGAACACAAATCATATGAGTTGTCCTTCGTAGCAGTAGTGTAGCTATGCCAGCACTGTGCTGAAATTGAAAACTCAGCCTGAGCATAGTCAGCATATTCACAGAGCTTTCACACTCTGCTTTCAAAACTCCAACATGTTAGCTTGGCCTGATGCTGCATTAAGCTTCCTGTGGCTCCCTAGGAGTCAACTCGGATACTTGCAGCATCATCCTGCATTGCATGTCATTCTTTCCCACCATAGCACTTAATGATCCAGCTTTCAAAATATAGATTCAGATGTCAGAGACTGCACATGACAAAGAGTACCAGGCATTGCCGCGTTCCAGTTTGTGTATAGCACAGCTGCACCATCAGCCCACTTGAATGACCCTTGCTGTTCCATGTCTGAGAGCCCAATCCAAAAGTATTTCTCCGGACTCAGACCAACAAGGCTGGTCAGGTAAGCTTGCTCATATCTGCAGGGAGAAGAAAAGTCAGATGGAGATTAAGCCTGGTTTTTCCTTAGTCTGACATTTCTCAGCATCCTAAACTCTACAAGCATGGAATAAATGGAGACTTCTTTATATATACCTCTTTTAAATATAGTCTCCTTTATAGTCTATTCTCCTATATAGTCTCACCTTATATGTGAAAATACTTCACTAAACTAGCTAATCTGATGGCCTAACTTCATTAACAGTTGAAGTTCTGCTATGCTGAAAAAAAAAAGGCTTCTAACAGGACAGAGCAACATTTCCTTTCAGAGTAAAGTACTGTAAAACAGGAAGATATAAGACACATTTAGCTAGAAAAGGCATACTAGATTTTCTGAATATGTTTTCTGGAAGAAGTTCATCTTGTAATCCTGGCTCCATACTTTTTTTTCTGAAAAGTCCTCAATTATTTTATAAAATTTGAAGCATAGTCTTACGAAAGGACTCTTTTCCTACCTGTCTCCTACACTTGTTAAATAACTATTGCTCCTTTCACAGGCTTTCTTTGCCTCCAAAAATGTTACAGAAGTATGTCCAACTAGATAGCAGTAAAAACCATGTCTTTCCCAGCCCTGTAAAAAAGAACACATGGTGCACACTTGCATATATAACAGTATGTGTTATAGTGCTTGAATTTCAATGTAGACTGTTAAATCATCATATTGTTTGTACAACAGAATACTGTAATACATCAATCTTCATTAATTTTGAAATCCAATAGACCAGCGTTAATTGAGCTTAGCAAGCATACAGAAAGATAGAGGTTTAATGCTTAACAATCCATGTCTTTTGACAACTAATAACTGATAAGTTTTAACTGATAAAAAGGTTGGAGGCACACAGAATGGAGAAGCAAATAAATAAAATACTTCTTTGCTGAGAAATGAAGAGAGGAGTCTCCACTAGTGTTAAATACTGACTCAGATTTCCTGATATGTCTGTTTGCCAGGCAAACTCTTGAAAAGCAACACCCTTAGAATTGCTGTTGAATTCCACATCACTTTTCCATTTTATACCAGCACAAGATACTCTTGCTGCATCCCAGAAAGGTAGAAAAATATGTGTTCAGTGTTTTGGTTCTGTCTCATTCCAGCTAGAGCAATGTGGCTCTGCTCTGTTTTCTGTATGGGGCTGTGGGACATGTTATTAAATAATGAACAGTAGTAAGTAGAAAAGTAGAAGGATGGGAAAATTGAAGGAAAAAAGAAACACAGCAGATATATAAGTCACTTCTAAAAACAATTTAACTCAAAAGTTTGATTAGATTTTGGCTTCATTGTTATTAATGACATTGGGTAACATCTTACATCATGTCACATAACCCAGAATCCAGCCCACTCTGTATTTTAGATAACCACATGATTGCTAGAACAATATAACAAATAAGTAAAACAAAAAACAAACAAACAAAAAAACTCACAAAGATTCTGCCTGATATGTAGGCAGTCCTGAGAGGTAATAGTAGGACAAAGGAAAAGGGTTCAACTTCAATGTGGAGATTGGGAAGACAATGGATTTTTGTTAACCAATGTCCTAGTTACCCTTTATTCTTACCTTCAGGCAGGCAGGATCAGCCTTCAGGGTCTCCAAAACATCCTGCAGAGGCTGTCTTCTGCAGATGTAACTTAACATCCTATCACAGGTACTGTCTGCCCAGTATCCATCCTAGACACAATTTGGAAAGAGGGGAACAACAGATGGATCTGTTTCATTTATAGTTTTTTATTTTGTTTTGTTAATTTTTTTTTATAATAATGCTTCAGTCAGAAGATAAAAATGCTTATTTTTTGAATGAACACCAACAATTCGTCCAGGTTTTGTTAGGTTGGACTAATTGTCATTCATCTCTATAATTTATTACAACCATCTTCTTGAGTGAATAGATACTGTTTTTCAATTTGCTTTTAAACTGCAGTCATGAACTAACTAAAAATAGAAGCAAAAATCAGGCTATATAGTATTGCATGAATGTAGCACGATTTTACCTCTCCTGCCATAAGAACACAATCTTCTTGTGCACTGGTTGCATGGGTCGGTTCTCCAGGCAACCATTTGATATATGATACAGGAGTCTCATCGCTCCATTCAAAATACATTTGAGTGTTGAGGTCATTCAGACCAATCCACAGCTCATCAGTAGCTTCTAGGAAGACAAATTCACCTGTGTTAGTGCCTCAGTTGTAACAGTCTAGAGGAGTAAGATTTCATGGATACGAGCTGAAGCTGCTATGTTACAATACAAATTCATCAAGGTTAAGTGGTAGTGGAGTCTATTTTAAGATCTAATTCACATTGTTTTCATATTTCAACAAGTTAAAATGGAGATACCAGCAGGAAATTAAACTGTTCAGATTTATCAGTAAAAGCCCGTAACTTATCTACAGTCACAAAGTGTCCAAGGAAGAGAACCACCTACTGCTGTAACTAGAGCTGTGGTTTCCTTCTAGTGATTTCTTGCAATGGAAAACAGGAACGAAGAGGAAATACTAACGATTCCTCCTGCTCTGTTATATATTTATCTTTGCACTCCTTTAGCAATATTCATCTCAAATGAACAATGGGCTTTTTACAAATCCTGTACATTTCCAATACTATAATTTTCCATTTGTATCCAAAATTGCCTCATAGAAGTACTCACTGTAGCCAAGCTGAGACACTATAAAGCCGTGCTCTTCAATGTTGTGAATACTGGCCAGACTGCTGTTGCTCTCCTCACAGGAAATCAAGGCTTCTTTCCACGCTCGGGGTTCTCTGTGGAGCATGTAACAGTGATCTGCATAGTGCGACCATCCTTCTGGGCATATAACAGGTTGTGTGTCCCCTCAAAGAAATAAGTACGTCAAGTTTTAAAATGATTGAAGATGAAATCTTAAACAACTGAAATTACATCTGAAATTAAGTAATAAATCAATTAGAAGGAGACTAGAGTAATATAAAATAGATAGCTCTTCTATTCATTCCACATATGTATAAAACATCATAGTCTATTTGCTTTTACAAAATATAATATTGTATTTGAAAGAGAGGAAAATAAGCACATAAATAAGCTTTGAGGACCTAGCTTTTCATGATAAATCTCATCTAATAAGATGAGGCAAAGAACTTGCTTTTATATTTGAAAAGCGGTCTAAATAATTTTTTTTCAACCTTTGTAGGTTAGCTGCAATTCCATAAGAAGGTGGTTTAAGCCCATAAGCCCCATCTTTCTAAGACTTTAGTGATAAGCCTAGATCTTTTCATTAGCATACATGATAGAAAGGATGAAGCATCTATAATTTTATGCCATTCAAGCACTTTTGAGCTAGTCTATGTCTTAGATCATTGCTTCTGTTTTCTTGAATAATAACATAAAATAAGAATTGCTGAAGTAGTATCTGGATTCCAGGAAAATTTCCAGTGTTTAAACATGCTTGATGATTAATGAAATAACAGTGAAGTAGAATAAAAGAGTGAAAATACTTTCATTTTTTCTTCTGTAGTGACAAGGACTGTTCATCTTAGTGACAGAAATTCTAACTTCCTTGTAAGTAAGTGTTTTGGTTTTTTGACCTACCTGAGGGAAGGATGAAAGGATCCAGTGAAGAGTTTTCCTTTTTACAGATATAGCCAGTTTTCTGTGCACATTGCTGGTTTTCCCATTGAGCACCTCTTCTAGGATTCAGCACTGCACAGAGTTTCCCAGGCTCAGGTGAAGGGCTTCCTTCATAAAATGAAAACAAAAATATTTTATGGAACACAGGCTTTATTTCAGTAACTTAAAGAACAATTTATTTCCAGACTTTTCTTGCATCAGTTATGATCTCATCACTTCATTGTCATTGCTAGTTTTCTACTGGAGATAAGGATATGTTATTTAAAAGTATCCATCAAAACAACAATATTTCTTTGGATGCTTATTGCACAACTCACACTGTCTGCCATATTTGTTTGCATGGTTGCTATTTTAAGATAAGAAATTCCTACAAGTTTTGTAGGACTAAATTTAGAGCACCCTGAGGGAAAGACTGCAGAGGGTCCACAGGTCTCTTTGCCCTCCTGACTGCTTAATCAGCATGAGCGTAGGATCAGTCATTAGTCCTTCTGAGGATGTATGTAGTTCACAATCGGCCACAACTGACATTCTTGCCTAATCTTGGATTGAGTTGATATGTTTAAGGGATACCTGGTACTGCCACAAAAGAGCTGCTGGGCACAGAGCTCCAGAAAGTAGAGCTGGCAGTTTCCCAAGTCATGAAAAAATCTTGTTTTATATATGTCTTCCAGTCAGGAGCCATTTGTCTTTACAGAACAAGCTCATGATGAACTTCCCTCTCTTCCTTGCATTCATAAAATGAGAGGATGCAGCTTGAGATAATATTTCTGGGTGGGAATGCAGCACCACAGCATCTTTTCTTAATATAATTTATATTCAAGCAAGGAATTTTACAGCCATGTGAAGAGAGAAGAGGTTTCTTCAGAAGAAAAATCACTGGCTGCTAATTATAAAAAGAGGTTTCAAAAACTTAGAAAAAAAAGAATTCCAGCTCTGTGTTTTAGAGCTAAACTATGCTCAGTGAATTAATATCAGTAACTAAAAAAATGGGAAAAAAGGGAAATGCCACCGACCTGAGGGTAAGCTGTCTAACAGCTGAGTAGGGAGTGCTGGGAATCTAGGCTGGTCAAAGCCTGCCAGGTCAGCTTCCTCGTTATGGGGACATACTAAAAGGCTTCTAGTTCTTAGAGCTGTGTTTATTAGATCATAAAGATAATAAAACTAAAAGTTCTTTAAAAATAAGGCAAATCTGCTGGAAGACATAGGCCAAACCACAATGTGTAAAAACAAATCTCTTTCTGCTGTGCTAAGGCAGGGTGAATATTTCCCTTCTGTGTCACATTCCTGTCCAGTGACTTTCAGTGTTTTGCTGGAGTGAAAAAAGTGCACTCAGAATCTTCAGAAAGGTCCTTTCTGCACCAGGGTCCTCAGGGACCTGGTTGCAGATTTGCTCCTGGCTGCAAGCTGCGAGCTCCAGGCTGACATGTCCTGGTGCTTGCTGCCTGCCTCTTCCCTTGCTGCCTCAGCCACTCTGCCCTCCAGGAGGTTCCCCAGGACGCTGGGGACATGAGCAAGGGTTTCCCTTTTCTCAAAGAAGCCTAAATATCCACAGTGTGGCCACAGTTTACAATAGTTATACAATAAACTGGAAATCATAGAATCATAGAATCACAGATTGCTTAAGGTTGGAAGGGACCTCTGGAGATCATCTAGTCCAATCCCCCTGCATACGCAGGGACACCTAAAGCACGTGGCACAGGACTGCGTCCAAGCGGGTTTTGAAGATCTCCAGAGAAGGAGACTCCACAACCTCTCTGGGCAGCCTGTTCCAGTGCTCTGTCGCCCTCACTGTTAAAGAATTTTCCTTAAGTTCTCGTGGAACTTTTGGTGTTTCAGTTTCCTCAGCTTCCTCAGCTGTGTTGATTAATTGTGTGGCCACCACACTGGAGTACAGAAATTCCCTGGGTATAGCCTGTTACCCTGGCAGCTAACTGCTCCTTTTTTTCTGCAAGGCTTAAGAAGTGTGGCCAGCTCAGAAAAAGATAGAAAGCCCTCCATCAGACTGAGCAGCTCCGAGATTTCCCTCTAGTCTCTGTGCCAGATAAAAGCAGGTGGCACAAGGGACCTCTGAAACTTGATAAAGACTAAAAGATGGAATAAGTGTCCATTTATTCAACAAATATAACATTCAACATTTGTTATACTATCTTGTTGCCAAGACAATAAGGAGACTTTCAAAGATAAATCACCAATGTGATGGTCTCTGATGCCCCTTGAGCCTGAGAACTGATCCCTAGCAAGATTCAAGGAGTCTCATAAGCCACACAGAAATTTTAACTTATTAAAGACATCCTTAGTATGCTACAGCTCAGCTGTTGTTTTTCATTTTAGCTACCTCTGATAGAATATGAGTTTATTTAACACACTGAAGAAAAGCTTATCTTTTTAGTCTCATACTGATGATATATCACATAGGCCTTTCAATCTCATTGCCATATGTTCACGATGAATACTTCAGTACCTAAAATGTACTTAATATGCATTCAATTTCACAAGAAAATATCATAGAATCATAGAATGCTTAAGGTTGGAAGGGACCTCTAGAGGTCATCTAGTCCAACCCCCCTGCGCACGCAGGGTCACCTAGAGCACGTGGCACAGGACTGCGTCCAAGCAGGTTTTGAAGATCTCCAGAGAAGGAGACTCCACAACCTCTCTGGGCAGCCTGTTCCAGGGCTCTGTCACCCTCAGGGTTAAGAAATTTTTCCTCAAACTCAGGTGGAACTTCCTGTGTTTCAGTTTCCGGCCATTACCTCTAGTTCTGTCTGTGGCCACCACTGAAAGAGACCAGCACCATCCTCTGCACTCCCTCCCTTGAGGTACTTATAGACACTGATCAGGTCCCCTCTCCTGCGACCTGCTGGAGAGCCTCTTCTCAATGCACCCCAGGATCCCATTGGCCTTCTTGGCCACAAGGGCGCACTGCTGTGTGTTCACAGCAGTGAAACATGAAAATATGCCTTCAACATTCTAGCAGGAAACAGCCATCTGTAAAATCGTTTAAAAAATATATACTACCTGGAGCCCAGTTTAAGTATCTGAAAGGAAAGCCACCACTCCATTGCCAGCCACTTTTGAGATTCAAACTGTTAAGACCAATCCAGAGAGAGGATCTCTTGCTGTCAATCAAATCTAGATAATCAAAAGAATTTATATTTTGTGATGTTTATAATAGAATGTTCTACATTTTCAAAGTTTGGAGAAGGATAAGCAATCTGATTACTAACTTCCAAATTTCAGTATAGAATCCATATTTACTAATAATAAACTCAGAGAATTTATTCTGTAGTTGCAGAATATATACAGAATTGCAAAAGAATAGTTTGCATATTAGTTTCCTGAGTACAATGCTATTTTACAGTTATATATACATAATAGGCACTAAAAAATGGAACAATGAATTGCTATTGTAAGAATCTATATTGCAGGTTTGCTGTGTTTGATACAGTTAACACTGATGTCATTCTACACAGCCCATCCGTATGTATGCAAAGTCTTAAAATTTTTAATATCTAGTACTAGTATCCTGTATAAAAATTGCATGACATGAAAAAAACCTGCCTATTCATGTGAGTTCATGTGAGTTCTAATCAAGTATACAGATTTCTTAACACAAAACTGGTTATTGAATAGTAGGCAACAATAGTGGCTTTTTTCCTGATAAGGTCCTTTTTTAAGATGGATGTGGTACTGTTTTTTGAACGTCATCCAACTCTTGCTTAATAACCCTTCACTTATTTTGTGAGAATAACAATTGATTATTCTACGACTCATAAGACCTTAATTTACAGTATCTGTGAAATTTCTCTAGCAGTACAAATATTATTATTACATAAGGTATTTACTGTAATATGATTAAAGCACCGAAGCATTTATAATCAGTCAAAAAGAGGCACTCTTTACCGAGTCTCCCATATTACTTTACCTGTTAGATACATTTGTTCATGTATCTCTGTGACACTTAATAATTCGGCATTCTGCTGCTGGCAGCTCCTCCTTGCTTGATGCCATGTGAGAGCTGCCTGGAAGTTTGTCTGGTAACTGGTTCCTGTCAAGGGATCTGTAATCCAAAATCTGCCATTGCCACTGCCTGTGAGAGAGAAGGTAGGTGCAGTATTGCATTGTTAGGAACAACTTTGTTAAAATTTTATAATAGAAATTATCTAAAAAGTTTTTTTGTGAACCCAGGTTACTGTGAAGCAAAAAAAGAAAAAAAGCAAACTCCATCTTCTCCCAAAATCTCATATTTTTCTTTTAACATGCTCTTTGTTAAGTCAAAGAGGAATTCCCATTGACATTAACAGAGATGAGTTGTCAAATTTTTAATTCAATTTTTTAATGTTCTTTTTTAATTGTAAATCCGGTGAGCCTAGTGATAGTTTCTCCGCAGTTATATAATGCCAAATACATCTGGTTTCCTTGATGATATAATAAGGGATTTTATTAAAACCCTTGTTTTATGCAATTTCACATTAGGAAGTGATTTTCAACAATGTCAGTTGAGAAGACACCAAAGACCAGTTGAAAAATGAACTGAACTTGGTTTCCAAGAGCAATGCTCCTATCAAAACAACAAATATGATTCTGTAGCACAGTACTAAAAAAATTAATCTGAGCTAGCATGTTCATTATCCTCAGTCACATCAGATTTTGGTGTCCTTCATTCTGCCTTCAGATGCAAATGCATTTCTCTGGTGGCCTTCATTTTAACCTAAAGCAGGTGATGGAAAGACATGTGTTACAAGGAAAAGGTCGATCATACTGTTATCCCAGTAAGACCTTTGAGCCAGTTTTCTCCTTCTTTTTTGCCTTTCAGAAGACAAACCACTTCTTGCTCTGGGTTAAAGGCCAGTTCTGTGATTCAGAACAGGGATTTCCATAGGTAGAAAAAGATATGCAACTTTTACCAGAAATAGCAATGGGGGAGAGAGATTACACACTAAGTAGTAACTTGTTTTTTTGGATGATTTTATAGTGATTGCGGTTACATTTAAAGCCTATTGGCCTTTTCCTTGATGTGACTTTCTGGTGGACAACCCAGGCAACACTTAGCTTGATTGGAGATTCATGAGGGAGGTGTTTTTTATTTCTTATGTACACAGTATTACAGCTTTGTAACGAGACATTTTTGAGTAAAATAAAATCATTACAAAGGCAACACTAGTAGTAGCATCTCTGATGCTACTGATATATTAACAATATAATATATTAACAATATAATAAATTAACAATATAATACTGATACATTAACAATATTTTGTTACAACATGTACAGTAGTATAGATGTTATAGCAGGATATAGTAGGACTTACTGTCAGAGGGACAGAACCCATACATATGGTCTGAGTCAAAGTCAGGGGTTGTTGCACACCAGAACAAGCCATCCGACCTGCCAGCATCCGTGCACTCTGCATACCATCTACCACCCAGCTTGAAAGGGAAAACACATGGCGCTCCATTTGCATTTCCTAACAGCGTAAACAGATCTGAGAGGACAGAAGAGAAATTAAAATATAGACATGGGATTCTGCAGGATCCCATTCTCTATGTATTTGTACACAGTGTAAAAGTAAGTGGAGTTACACTTACAAATGAATTACAAGTTTGGTAACTGGTGACCCACTGTCTGTAGTAGAGCCATACAAGGAAATTCTAGGTAAATTTGTAATTTACCATTTCCTTATGATATCATTAGCTATAACAGCTGGACATAGAGCTATTCCATAAAATGGAAGTATATTTTTCATCTCAGATGTTTAAATATTTTTTTCTCTAAATAGCCTAATTTTGCTCCTCGTGAAGTTTAGCTTTCAGTTATTCACAAAAGATCCCTGATTTAAACTTTAAACACATTTTTTGGTCTTCTGATTTCTCATAGAGGAATTGAATGATATTGTTCATGGAATTGGGATATTAAGTTTGAAGACTGGTGCCTTTCATCTAGCAATGATAATACAATTAGACTAGTACATACAGAGTGACTAAATAAATTAAAGCACTTAGCTTAAAGCTAATGATTAAAAATAGGCTCAGAAGGGTCCCAATCATGATGGCAAACAAGTGAGTACAAGAGACTATCAAGATTAATCTTCAGACTTTACCTTCATAACCCTGTGAACACAAGTCATCCATAGTTCCATAGATCCTCCATTTATTCATTGTATCTAACACTCTGTTCAGCACAATATCTTCTTTTTTGGTTTTGCCAACACCGAGAAACAAATCTTCCCCTTGGATTGCCAAGGTTGCATTTCTGCAGTCCCATTTTTGGAATTCACTTTTCTTGTCACAGGGGTACAAAGAAATTTTAGCTTGTTCTTGTTTAGAGGGGACTCCCAAACACTGTGCAAATGCCACACTCATCACCTGATGAGCAGACACCCAACGGAACTTCTGCAATTCACTGTTTTTTTTGCAGGCAGCTGTTGTGACCCCATGAGACCTCTGAGCAACCATACAGTGCTTACTCTCCTCATTATATATTAAAAATATTTCATTACCTGTAAAACAAAATAGCAAAAATTAATGTAATCTCTCCTGGAATATACCCCTTTTCTCAGAAAGTGTTGAAAAGACTGTGCTGAAGATTCGAAGTTTAACTGCACTTCATTTCTGTGTGCCTCAGTTTCTCATCGATGAATATATAGTGTAGCATCACCCGATATCATTTCTCAGAGAGTAATTGCATAAAGGACCATGAGTCCACAAAGAATACAGTTAGAAACATTAAAATAAATTCCTAAGATAAGGGTAGGATGTTAGGATACATTTTGTTTTGAATAGAATATAATAGAAAGAATCTGAGAGATTCTGATTAATCAAATTATGACAGGAAAAAAATGTTTCTGTGACCAAGATTCTGAAACATGGGACCCAGGATTTTGGATATTTTGATTTAACATCTGCCTGTCTCGAAAAGGTCTGTGCAACTTTGACCAGCTTAGTAAATCCATGGAAGTTTCACTTCTTCAAATCTAAATGTGGAAATAACACACAGTTTTTCTCTCCTTGTCCATTTAAACCCTAAGTTTTAAATCTTGTTAGATCTTCTAGCTTATTGCTTGCTAATTAAGGACTTAGTGTATAGCCCCTAATAGCAATTGTGAGGGCATGGTGAGGTTCATCCTGTAGTCAGTGCATTCCTTTGTTTGGGTTGCAGCTTGCAGAGCAGAGTGCAGACTCAGCTCAGAGAGTGCCCTTTCCCATGGCTTGTACTGGCACATGAGAAGCAGTATCTGCCTTTGGAAGCTACGATTTGTACCTGACTCCTCCAAAAAAAATGATCAATTGAAGAATACAGGAAAAATGCAGGGGAGAACAAGCATGATGTATAGTGTTTCTGGTCACAACACAACACAAGGAAGAATACAGGAAAAATGCAGGGGAGAGCAAGCATGATGCATCCATAGTGTTTCTGGTCAACTTCAGAACCTTAACTGTGCCTCATGTCCATAAACTAAAGGCTCTAGTGATTATTCTTTGGCCTTTCTTGATTCTGTGGTTCACAGAAAAAAAAAAAAAAAAAAAAAGTACTGTCATCTTAGTCACAGTACATCATTTCGTATTGATCCACAAGCTCCATCTCATCTTTCACAACCTCATCCTAAGTGTAGGATACATCACTCTTTTTTCACAACCACAGACACATCATGCAGAAAAGGGAAATGGAGCCTGCTGCAAAGATTATCTCTTTAAAAGAACAGGAATAACCAGTAATTAAGTAGTACCAAAAGGAAATCTCTATTGCCAAACATCACTCAGTCCTGATTTCTATTTCCATGGTTTGCCCTGTCCTGATTCATGCCCTCTCTTTAAAAGAAAACCAGTATCTCTGTATCTTCATCTTTTTTAAGCTTCTATAAATTATTTCAGTTAGTTAGTGAAAATGAAATGCAAAACAGTTAACCAGCATGTTAACTCAAAGTGCCTGAGGACAAGCAAGTGAACAAAAATATCAACTTTCACATCCACTTTTGCAGGGCAGAAAGAACAAAGACGACTCACCCGGTGTCTGAAAAGCAGTCTGAATGAAAGACAGGAAAATTAAGAAGATAGAAAAAGTCATTTCAAGTGTTTCATTCCTTCTTCTTTTTCGCCAAAAATTAATTGCTGCAATAAAAGTCCTTCTGGAACTAGTGCATACTAGGACTTCCTCAGTTTTAGGGAGTTTTAATTGAAAGACAAAATGCTGGGCTCTAAACTCTAAATATGGAAATATCCTGTCACGTGTGGAATTTTGAAATCTATAATTACAAAATTCATACTTTGTATCTGAAAGCAAATTTTCATTCCAATCTAATGCAAGTGTCAAACTCTAAACAATTCAACATCATTCTGCTGAAAGATTTCATTAATTTCATTAATGGTTCAGTTCGTGGCCCCCAAGTCAAAATAGCAGGGAGTGCTCAGAATATGATAGCTATGCATTAAGTCTCAAAAGTACATATTTGGGAAACTCAGAGGAAAAAAAGGAAAATTTATTCACCAGAAGACAGATTTTCACTGCTACAAAAGGTGCACCTTGTAGAATCAACTATAGCGATGTGAAAAATAAACAAAGAGAGGACAATTTAATCTTAGGTAGAAACTTGACAAGTTGGGCACTATATAGATATCTGACCTCTAGTTTATCAACTGCTAAAACTGGAATGCCATAATTTCATGTAATTGTATCTTAGCAGAACCAATACAAAATAGTCACCACTAACCAGAAAATAAGATCTTTTTGTTAACAGCGCAAAACTATTTAATTACAAAGTAAAAAATGAATAAATTTTTATATTTAAAGAAATTTTCTCTTGTGTCAGGAAAAATATGGGAATAAACACAGGAAAAGCACAGAGGGATAGTGTCATACATTCCAAACGACCTGCAGTCCTTTATTAAGTGGAAATCTACTTGAGTTATAATTCAAAATCCCCTATTTGTTTTGAAGGAAGAGAGGCAAAAAAAATCAGCAGAAATTATCCTGAGAATTTTCCCTCATTTTTTCATATCTTTATTATGAAACCAGATCTCACAAGACAAAGTGAAACATCATTTGATTGGAGACAAGAAAGCCATTTACAAGTTGGGTCTTCAGAACCACTACCAATTCAAAATACTCTTACATCTGCCCTCCAAACAAAATTAGGCTTGGTTCCAGAATACGTCAGACAATGGAAGTCTCTTTATTTGTCCTCCATTATGTGATGAAAATATTTACATAAACTACAAAAATGACAAATAATTGTATTTTTTTAATGTAAGATATATTTTCTTCATCATCTATTTGCCCCTTTCATTTGACTTGGTTTTATCTTTAGCCTTCAAACAGCACTGGATGTAATTCAGTGTCAACATTTACAAAAAAGACAAACACAGATATGAGTTGTAACACACACGAAGGAAAAATAAAAGGCATAGGATCAAGGGGATTGTGAGTAAAAATTATTTTAAGAAGAGAAAAATTCTGCGAGAAGACCCTTCTTTCCTTCCAGCTTTATTTGGCACACACTTAATAGCTTATTTGCATTTCTTTTCAGTCATATGCTGTCTTCAGGTTTCCATGTTTCCTTGTGTTAGCCTCTCTTAAGGCAAATGACTCATCTGATCACCGGCCTGTACAAAATCTCTGCATGCTAGTTTATCAGTACTGGAGTTTTATGTAAAACCTATATCCTTTTATTGATATATCTTCATATAATTGATACAAAATAGTCAAAGTCATTGAATACGATTGAGTGCATTCCAAATGTTTACTTACTTTCCGAAATTCAGGTTGAAGTACAACATTTACATTTACTTATAACATATGGCATGCCAAACTTTTTCAGTTGACATATAATATTATCTCTAAGATAATATATGTTTTACCTATTATATATTCAAAGCTTGAACAAGAAACATTGTAACATAGGGACAATAATGGGGGAAAAAGTTGTGTAAATCACTAGACACTCCAAACACCACTGACTGAAGTAACAGTATCGAACCTTTGCATTTTGGTGAGCTATTATTTTGAAAGTGCAGGTTTTGGGCTGAGTGCTTTGCAGAATGTTCACAATATATCTGGACTTGTTTCTATATATAATGGTGTCACAAATGTCTAAAAACTGAGTATGCCAGAACATTAATCTGTACATTTTAAGTTTAAACTGTCCCTAGTTTTTCTATTTGCCTTGTTTGGTTAATTAGGCCAATGTAGTACTCCAAGTCTTTGTCCTTTGAAAATTCCTTGCACAGCACAGAGCAATATTAATTAGCTCCTATCAAATGAAAGATTTTGTCTTTTAATATGTACAATATGTGTTAGGTGCATGTATCTAACATTTCGTTTGATTTAGGTTCTTTTAAGTATAAGCATACAGTTTCACTGCATAATCACATTAGACAACACTGTGTTCATTTATTTCTTTGTCAGTCAGAAAATCATTTTCATCGCCTGTTCCAGTTAGAGCATTGCTGTAGTCTAGTGTGCTGCGCTGCAAAAAGCAATTGTCTTGGGTTTTGAGCTTGAATAAGAAATAAATCATGAAGGCCATTCCTACTAAAATAAGCAGGATCAGACTAAGTAGCATCCAAATTGTGGTGTGACCATGTGGCATCTCCTTTTCAGCATCTGTAAAAAAAAAAAATGCAAAGCAGTTAGAATTGGATCCACTATAGCCATAAGTAAATATGAAGAGTAGTGAAAACTATTTGTCTAATTTTTCCCCCTGGAAGCATTTATGAAGACAATAGAGTATAGCCTCAGCATCCTACTGCCTCCCGCGGTTCTGTTGGGGCAAAGGTAGGACTATGGGCAAAGAAGATACCATTAAAACATAGATATTTTAATATGCTTTTTCAGAATGAGAGTTCTCTCTAAAAACTATCTTAGCATCTCTCTGTCATCCCCCACACAGACTGTAGTGTATGAAAGATGGCACAAAGAGGGGATGGTCAGTCTACTGATGCACTTAGTCATGGGCTGCCATCCTGGGTGGCATAAGTATCTCATAGAAACTAAATCACGCTGGAACTGAACTCAATGGCAACTAAATGAATTAAGTGAATATAATAAATACATAAAAAACAATCAAATGATAAATATCAATTAATAAATAAAACCAAGTATTTATTTTCATGTCTTTCTTAAACTATGGAAAAGAAGAAAAGCACCTACCTTCCACATTTGCTGGAATAAGTGAAGTTGCTTTAACTGTCAGAGATAATGAAAAATGTCCAGTTACATCTTAAAAGGTCATGTTTTCATTCCTACAGTTACATGGTCAGCAAAATAAGTGATGCTGCATATCAAGGCTCTCCCATCAGTTCTGTAAATGCACTTACTAAATTAGCAAAGATGAAAAGATGCAATTGACCTTAATCTGATAGTCACTATCAGTCACTGACAGCAGTGAAACTGTGTTGATTCGCATATTAAAGCCTTCTTCCTTCTCCTTTATTGGTAAGCAAGTAACCTCCAAGCACAAGCAGTTTATGATTGTGGTGGAAAGACTGTCTCTGATACTCTTGTTAATAAATCTTTCCCCCCTCATAGGCTCTCCATGTCAGCCTGTGTGTTCTGTCCAGGGACCACCGAGGTGCTGGGTGAGATGGTCAAATGCTGAGGATATTTTCCAGTTAAATTTCCTCTAGTGCACACAGTTCCTCTGAGATCCAGGAGATTTTTACTGTCCTGGAATTTGTTTCTATAGCGTTTGCACTGAAGGTCAAGCCTTCGCGTGCAGTTCTGTTGGTGGTTTAAAGAGGGCGTCTCCTGCAAGATTTCTCACTGTGCCCTGGGTAGAAGCTGCGTGGAAGGTGGATCACCTCTAACACGAGCAGATTTTCAATACGGGCTGTGGGATCTGCAGTGGAGAGGCAGAGTGCACATGTCAGCACAGTGGGAAGCTGTGAAGAGCCAGATGCTCCACCAGAAGCATCACAACGCGTGAGACGCTGGCGTGCTCATGAGCATGCCTCCTAACATGCCTCTTAAATTGTCCCTTGGAAGGATGAAACACAATGTTTGCCCACGCTGAAAAGCCTTTCTACTGGAGAGCCAGGCGTCAGGAAATAAACTCGACACTTTGGTATAGCACACAGGGGCAGTCACAATCAAAGTCAGATGACAAAAATATATGTCAGTGCTGAGGTTGTGTTTTCTAAAACTTCTGCTAGCATAAAAACAGCTTCCTGCAAGTAGTATTCTAGTATTGCTCTAGCTACTCCCCCCCAAAATTAGGAATTGCCCTAGAAGAAGAGCTTTGTTTTCAGGAAATGTTCTAATGTTCAGATATGTGAACATCTGCTTTCCCAACCAGCTGCTTGGTTTGGTAGAAAAAAAGGATAGAGCGTAAGAGAACTTCAAAATATTCAGAACCTTTGGGTTGTGAAATAGGACAGGAAATCATATTTTATGCAGAATTACAGTTCAACTCAAAAATACCACATGGCTGCTTGGCTCATGATATTCAGATATTTCTACTTCCTGACCAAAGCAGATGGTGTTCAGTTGCGCAGAAACACAATATTAAAAAAAACATGTTAACCAAAACACTTTTACTATTTTTCAAAGGTCACTATACAAGTTCTGGATCATGCTTCCGTTCTGTTATGACTTAAACGAAATTGCTTCATCCATCCTTTACTGGAACAGCATGTATCATAGCACAGCAAGAGGAAGAAGAGCTAATTATTGAGGCAGCTTTTGTTCTATAAAAAGGGAACGGGAATGTTAGCAGAAAAAAAGCATGTGTATTTTGGATGGGGGAGCAAAATCAAAAAGGAATTAAAAAATTCCAGAAAATACTGATTATCTGTGTTATTATTTGAATAATGATTGCAGAATGGACACAAACAGTACAGATAGTGCACAACAGGCCTTTTGGCAGACCAGAAGAAGGTTAAGGGAAAGTTTGCAAATTCAGTATTTTATGTGATATAAAATGTGACTATTTTCAAAATTACCATATTGTGTTATTACTACTAAATAGAACATCAATGTAAAAAGCAAATATTAAAATAGCCACTCACTCTTTGACCGCTTACAAACATATCCCCTTTGCGAAGAACATGAAATGATACTCCAGTACCCAGAAGAGGTAGACATTTCTACGCAGTAATCAAGCTGATCCCCTGAAGGTTGTCCTTCAGCCCAGTTGACAAAGTCTAACGCAGTGTTGTCCTGCCAGAGGAGCTTCCCTGGTGTGGCAAATGTTGGCAGTAGTACTGTTAATTCAGCAGAATGTCCACTAATATTATTTTTTCTCTAACTCTATTGTTATGCTCAGTTTAATAAAACAATACTACTTTCTTAAAAAAAAATCCTTTTTCTAATACACTTTATTGCCTCTAAATATTTTTTTGCCTCTAAAAGAAAAATATTGATGTATCAATGAGTGAAACAAAGTCTGAAAAAATCCTTTATGACTGCTAGTAGACTGAGGCTAGACTTGCTTATTCTGTTTGCATGTTTTCCAGAAGGGCCGTATCTAGAAAGCCTCATTTTCTCCTTACATTGAGGAATTATGGTGCCTGGTGTGATCCTATGGGTTACATTTGGATCCTCACAGCCCCGTGCAGGTGCTGCCAGGCCAAGAGAAACCTGGATCACATGAGAAAGGGCCCCTTCCAGGCCACACAGCAGACCCAGCAGAAAAATGCACTCTCACAGCCAGGAATTGCAGATGACCTCAGTAAGGGCTCCACGAAGAGGACAGGATGGACAAAAATCTGCAAAATCTTCCTTACACTACAGCCAAGAACCAACTGTGGAAAATTATAGGTAAGAACAATTCCAGATTCTAGGTTAGAAAGTTCTAGTTTAGAAAAGAGCCCCATGAGGGCCTCAGCACAGACAGCTAAAATAACACATGATGTTCCACTTTCTTAAGACTGGGTCTTTCCTGTGTTTTGGCTCCTGAGAGAGTCCTATCACCTCTCCATCCCTTTGTTACTAAGCTAGATATGGAATAGAAGAAATTTGCATCAAGCCAATCTCCATGCTGGCAGGAGGCTGCAGCATTTTTGGCTGACCCATGCAATATGCAGAACCCGTAACTGAGGTCAAGCAGGATTTGCCTTCTATAGTCTTTCACACCTATTGGTTAAAATCCTAAACCTCATAGATTTTTTTTATCAAATGCTATGTATCTATTTTTGTGTTTACTTCAGAATTTTTCTGTATAATTTCTACTGCACTTGAAACTTTTCCTGTAAAATAAAAACATGAAATAGTCATATTTCAATCAATGTAATGAAGGCTATTTATGTATAGAAATTAAAATAATTACCATTTATATTTCTGTATAGTCCTATCCAAATCCCACTTGTCCTGCTTGATAAGTAGTCTGCATGTTCTGCTAAAAAGTTTGATTCAACCAGATCTCCTACAGAAGTCAAAGTACCACCTGTAATACATTAGAAAACATCTGTAGAAAACATCTAGCTGTTATAGAAATCTGTGGTAGTTAAATATATTGCTGCAAGATAAAATTAATAACAAAACCTTTTCCTGCTGGTAGAAAGTAAGTGAGGATTTAGAGACCAGAAAGAAATGCTCAGCTCAAGGGAAACAGCATAGCTTATAAATGATGTCCCAAAAAAAAGACACAAGATTTTCAGTGCACCACAGTGAAGATGATTTCAAAACTATCAAAACAAGCAAACAGCACATTATTTTTCAGTGATTGAATAATATTTTTATAACCATAATTAACTGATGATTATTTATTTTTTTCTCTTGGATTTGACACAACATTGTGTGATGTAAAACAGTGCAGCAAGCAAACATGGGATTAAAGGGGAAAGATTAATTTTTCTGGCAATATTGGCAAACTGAAAGTGTTGCAGAGTGGGCTGAGAAGATCAAACTAGATATGGAACAAAGGGACCAATTCCTTTAGAGGAGTTCATGATTTCCCTATTTTTCACCGTCTAGCGAAGCATTGAGGAGTCACCTCACAGCTGAGCAATGTTGGCTCTGAGACCAGCAACTCGAGAAAGGAGGGGGGCATTTGCCTACGCTTTGCATTGCAGGTTACCAGGGAGTCCCACAGGTAGAGTGAGGACTTCTAGGCAGAGCAGGCAATCCCCTGTCAGACCACACACCCAATGTGAAAAATAACTGATTGTTACTGTGGTGGGATATTTACTGTCGTCTTGGCACAGAGATACTGAAGTGCTTATGACTGAAGACAAATCAAACCATTTATAAAAACACCTAAAAGTGGAAACTTTTAGTTAGAAAGTAGGAAAAAAAGGGAAAAATAATCACCTTATCATCTCAATGAAAACAGCTTTAATGATGAAAAGTAAATGAGATGTTAATTTCTTTTTTCTCATCTATGTAAATTTTGCAGCACCAGCATCCAAAGCTTTTAAAAAGTGAAATCGTAAGTCAAAATTAAAATCATATTTTTGAGTAATAATAATAATAATAACCTGATTGAACACATTTAGTCACAGACTGAGACCAGCTCACTTCATCGGAGTTGAAGTTATAGCAGTGGCTTTGGAAAGGAATCCAAGAGATGTGATCAGATTCAGGACACTTGCCATTCTCCTGTGGAAGATCATAAGAAGCTATACCTACAAGAAATGAGATATTATGTATTCTGTTGTCAGTGGGGATTGTAATCCTTCAAATATGAAATTAAGTTTAAAAACCACCCTTCTTAAAAGTACTTAAAATAATCTTCACCACACGTTACTAGAATTATCAGTGAATATGTTAAGAGTGACAATGAGGAACCACACTCCTCAGCCACAGCAGAGCAGAAAAATATAAGGCTGCACTCTTCTGTGTTACTATTTGAATCAAATTGGTCTGTCTCAAGAATGTGAGTTTGGTCTTTTATTTTATTTTATTTTATTTTTTTCAGTGTATTTTCTATAATCAACAACTTCGTATAAATTAAAAGTATAGTAAAAGATATGAAAAGAACACCCTCAAGAGGTTCAAATAATTTTATTTTAAATTACATATCCTCTAAATTGTTATATATTATGAATTTCTCAATGAAATATTTTCTTTAAGAAACAGAAAATTTCTGAATAATTTCGACACCATGTGAAACTCGTGAAATACTCATGCAGTGATCCCAAATGCAGTAATGTTAAGGCATAAGCTAGTAACATTATGAAGTGGTACATGCATTTTTAACTAAAACAAGTTGAAGTTGCAAATTAATCAAGTTCAGAACATGATCTGAAAAAGAAATTATAGCAAAATTATACAGCATCAACTCAAACAAAACAACTGCTCATAACCTTTGTGTAGTACAGCCAACAGTAGTTCCTCTCATACAAGTGAGGAAGCAAATGTTCAGCCCAGGCCTGCCTGGTTGTACGTGCTTTAATTTGTAGAATTTCTCACTGAGTCCGTGTAATCACTATGAAGTAGGATCTTTGCTTTATACCAGCAAACAACAGACTCTTTTTTTTCCCCACAATTTAATACATTAGTCACAGTTACCAGAAACTGATGATAATATTAATAACTAGATACAAAGGATTCCTCCTTTCTCCAGTTATTAGTATCTAATAACACTGCTTTAATGACTGCATGAACACAGCTATTTTTAAGGCACATAATTTATTTTGTACTCATTGCACATTACTGATTATAATCCTTCCCACAAAATACCTGTCAGCAAAAGGATTCATATTATAGACTCCAAAGAATTTAAAATTGTAGTACTCCCACAGTCTGTAGGCTCTGTCTGTCTGCAACATTGCAATTCTACTGCAGTTATCCTCTGAGTCCCATAAAACTGCATGGACAACTCCATGAAAATGAACTGATGTTGAAGCAAAAATGAGACTATTGAAATTACATAGGCAGCCTCATTATTCCTTACATATTAAGGTATATAGAAATAATTAAGGAATAATGAGGCTGCCTATGTAATTCCAATTCCAATTCCAAATACATACTTAGAAATACGTTTTATTCAAAGCAGATTCTTTGAGGTTTCTGCCTTAAAATCCAACCTTTTAGCATGACCATAGCTTACCGTCAGATTTTTGACAGACAGGAAAATGTTTTTCTTTACAAGGTGCTGTTTTCCAAGTTCCATAGAGATTTAAATAGACACAGGCTATTTTCCATTTGGGTTCACCATAGTTCCATTCAGAATAATTCATTTTCCTGTTATCAATCCATCTGTAGTAGCCATTCTAAAATTGAAACAGACATTTAATATAATTTTTATACATCCCCCTCTTCAGTTTCAGGTAAGAGGATTTGTACAAATGCACATTTTCACAGTGATTTGCAAAGCTCATTTTGTACATTTGAGCTAGTACTATTGAAATACTGATCAAATGAGGACTCAGCAAACACACAACAGTATACTTCTCATGCTGTAAGAGACCATTAGGCTTTTTTGAAGGCCAAGGGATGCTTTCCAAGTGCTGGTGGTGCCTAGTTGCTTATGGAACAGTGTGGTGAGAAGCAATCCTTGTCCTAGAAGAGTCAGGTTACTCCAAGTTGCAATTTGAGTACAAGGACCATAAGGATTGCAGGGAGCTCAGGCAGGGCAGTGGAGGGTGACTGCCACACAAGGGCTCTAAGCTCAGCTACAGGTGAATGCTCATCTCCATTCCCTAAGGTGCAACTTAATGCTTTTAAAATGCAGGAAGGGAATGCTATCTTTCTATCCTGTTTTCCTAAGTCTATTAATGCTACCTTTCAACCTTCAGACAATAGTCAAATCACAGCATTTAACTACTCCTCACATCAATGTATTAATCTTACCACTTTGCTATTGAGACCAATCCATAGGGGCTCTCCATGCTGTGCTGCCTGCATCAGCAAGAATATATTAGTGTAGTAATCTAAAATGCTGGCGAGCTGTGACGATTTCTCCTTGCAGGCTCTCCTTGCTTCATCCCAACTCATTTTAGAAGGAATCACTAAATAGCTGCTATTTTCATAGTGGATGAACTCAAACTCTGAAGCAGGTGTGGAATGAAATAATTCAGACTCTGTAGGAAAGAGATAAGGAGGAGGAGGAGAAAACAATGATAATTATTAGCTGCTCAAGAAGAAGTATTACCTTTGAATAGCAAATGTATATAGTGTGACAATAAAAGCATCAAACATCAACCATTTTTTATTTCAAACACAAAAGATATTTTAAAGATAGCTTAGAACTATTTGTAACTACAATGTATATATATATATAGAATATATATATATAATGTATCCACAAAATAGGGAGAGGCAGAGAATTTGCTGTTCATATCACCATTTGAAAATGATGTGAATACTGGTCACTCAGTAGTCCTCTCTCCAGTTCTCTTTAGGTTCCCTTCCCACATTGTGGGTAAAATTCCTCCTATTTTCTTCTACTTGCATACATACCATTCAAAACATAAAGACCTAGAGCTGCTGACTAGGTCAGAAAAAGAACAAGAATTGCCTTCTTGCTCAAATGGTCTCAAGCACATCCTGGCAACGGTTTTTGCCAGTGACTCCTTTGTGCAGCTTTTTGAACTTGCACAGGACAAGCCCTGAAACATCTGGCCCAAATGTGTCTTCTTCCTATATTTCTAGCAGTACATAATTCACTGCTCAGCAGTTCCCCTTTTCTCTTCCTGTGAACTATGCAGTGTAAATATGTTCCGGATGTATCTCCCATTCTGAGGATAGAAGAAGAGATCTAGCAGTTTTGTTCTGATTGCTGCTGGCATTGCTATAAAGAACATTGTCCAAAACTGTGCAACAACAGAACCTATTTAACCCACCTTACCCATCCTTTCAAGGGATGTGAAGGTGGGTGAAGGGCTTAGTTCTGGGCGGGGAGGTTGCAGCTAAGATACGTATAGTGGACGTTTGTGATGGATTTGCCTCATGCTTTACATTTACAAAATACACTAATTCAGATACCAACACCTGTGCTTGTGGGCCAAACTTCTCTTGCTGTCAGCAATTAAAAAAAAAAAGATGCTTTGAAAGCCTCTTCTGACCTGCTTCGGACATTTCCCACAGGTGAGGCCAATCTTGCCTTCAAAGATTTTACTTATTGTGTGTAGGCAGCTGGTTCAAATGTAGGTGTCTGCAGTGGAGGCAAATTCAGCATGTGTGAATGCTGGTAGGGGAGAGGCCATAAAACAAAAACTTTTCTATAACCCTTACCCCAGAACTGTTTTCTTATCTGGATGAGCTGGGATGAGCTGAACTTCCTTAACCCCAGTTGCTAACCCTGGTTAAAATTGAGGACTTCTATATCCAGATTGGTCAATAAATGTCCTCTAACACAGAAAGGGAGAAACAGAACTTACTGCTGTCCATCTGGCAAATATAGCTCTTGTTGTGCTGGCAGTCAGTGTTTCCCCAGGAGCCTGCTTCATCTTCAGATCCTTTCATCATTGCAATACAGTCAGTCTAGGGAAAAATTAAAAAGATAATTATAGCTGGTAAAGTACAAAATGCTTAGCAAAATGATAGAGCGAAGTCTTATCAGACCAAGTTAATACTTTTCTCTGTTTTTTTTTTCAATTTTTAATGGATCTTTTTAGAAGATTTTTTGTCTCTTATTTATCATTTTTTAGCAAAGAAATGTTCTAGTTGCATTTTATATTGTAGGAAATTGAGATCTCCTTGACAGATTAGTGCAAGAACTTTTGTCTATTTTCTCTTTTGTCACTTCCCTAACAGTTCACCACAGCTATTTTTGCTATATAATGTGTGGCAGTCTATACTGAATTTCTGAACTTGCATTTGCATTCGTGCTGCTTATAGATAGGCAATGTAACAAAGCAAAAACCCAACACATTTAGTAATAATGAATATTTTCAGTGAATTCTACTAATTCTGGTAATAATTCCAGTTAATATCAACAATAATTATAATACAGCCTTTCTGCAGTTCTAGACTTCTGTAAAATATATATGTATATATGTATATATAAAATACAAAGATGGAGACTTTAAACAATAGTTTAAAAAATTAATAAACAATATTAATGTATTGACACGACTTTAAACAGTTGATTCCTGCAATATTTTTCTGTTGCCTTCTACTTTAAGACATTGAAATATAAGGAGCCAACCTAGGCAAAGGTTAAGCTGGTTATGCGAAGCTTGAGTATATTAAGTTATGAAATTTTTGCTATTGTTCTATTTACCTCTATCGTAATAAAATTCCAGTCAATATTAATGTATTTGTCTCTAAATGGGAATTTTCTTCCCCACTTTGAGTAGTCAAATACACTTCCATCTGTCCACACGTATGTATGCTCCTGGTTAATATCATTCAGACCAATCCAGGTTTCACCTGAGATATCTTTTAGGAGGAGGGTGAGGAAGGCTATCGAAAAAAAAAAAAGAGAGAAATAGCAAGCAGTGTAAGAGTTGCCATTCTACAAATTCAGAGAAAACAAAACAACCAAATGACTTTCAAAACACTGCAAATATCACTTTAGTATTTTTAGATTATAAACTAATGGTAAAAGTGAAAGGAAACAATGCAATGTCTAATTTAACTGAAGGAGTTTGATGTCATTAAAAACATGGAAGGAGAAATTTTCAGTATAAAAGTGCTACTCACAGGCTTCTTAACAATATTATAGAAATAGGGCCAGAAGGAACCTGAAAAGGTCTTGACCTATTTTCCCCTAGAGAGTATCAGCAAAAGAGAGGTATTTTTAATGGATATTTGTTTATTGTCTAACATGAATTTCTGTGGACAGGTTAAGTCCATTGCTGTCTCTCCTATCTTCCAAGACCTTGGGGAACAGATTTTTCTGCTCCTTTCACATTATTTTTTTGCTGAGAGTTAAGTGTCATAATATCACTTCAGATTTTCTTCTCTGCATGAAGCAGCTCCAGGTCATCCTTCATAGCTTATGCTGTTTAGTTTGGAGGCTATTTTGCCTTCATCTTTACATGGGTCAAAATTCCAATTAGTGGCTGCAAAGAACGAATTCCAGAAGAAAATGAAAGGTACTATAAAAAGTCAGCAGTGCTGTGGAGGCATGAAGGTGGGCAAGAGAGATGGAGTAGAGATGCTAAGATTTCTGATGGCTGTGCTTGGTCATTTTTTTTTTTCCGCTGCCTCCTGCTCCTCCATCTGCCCAGACAGTACATGTCTATGCCCGGTGTGCCTAGCAGGCAGTGTGAGGCTGCACTGAATGCGTGGGGGCTCTGCTAGAAGGGTGGCAACAGGAATAGATAGATGAATGAAGGCCCTGGTGATCCTCAACTGTCAGCTCCATGATCTGACTGCAAGTCCAGCTGAGGTTTTCCCAATACTTAGCAAATCAGAGGGGCTACTTCATGTCTTACGCAGACACATATTTGTATGGTGTTTTGTTTTTTGTTTTTTTTGGTTACTCCTCATTCTGGTTTTGTGTCCTAGGCAGCTACAGAACCTTGTGTGTAACATTATTCAAAAAGATCCCTCTTCCTCTCCCAAAAGGTTTTAAAGATTTCTCAGATTTGTCAAGAAGATTTTATATTCTAGCTCTATGCTCCACTGTGTTATGTCATTATGTCATCCACAAATGTAATGCTTATACGACAGGCCAAAGTGATTAAAAAGATATTGAATATTACTGCAGCGAAAACAGGCTTTTGTCTAATCCCATTCTGTACATCATTTCCCTGCCTAACTACTAGTGACTAGCATGGTTCTGTAGATACTCCTGGTGTTGGAAAAGGAGGAATAGAAGATGATGGTGGGGAAACAAGCTCATATTGCAGTATGGTTCTATGAGTATTCATCTTTACAGTCACTATCTTGATTGATTCTATAATTATTTTTCCAGAATGGTCTATCCAGTGCCATCAACACATACGGTAGCTGGATGCTGAAATCCAGCACAAAACAGGTAGTTGAGCTGTATCATTTCAGAGAAATTCTGATGCATTCTTATGCCTAAACTGTGAAGCACAGAGAGGAATATACTTGATAAGAGCAGCCACAATTACAATTTTAAATAATAATTATGATATTTTGGTGAAATTATATGGCTTCTCACATGGCACCAAAAGATTCAGATGTCTTACCTTGCACTTGTGCATTGTGTATAGAGACCAGGTTTCCCCCTGATTCTATACAAGCGCTCCTTGCAGCGTGCCAGGTCAGTCTTTCTTCTATGGCGTATCCAAATATTTTGTAACACTGTGGGAAGAGTAAGGACTAGACCACATGTAGGTGTCAAAGAGAATCCAAGCCACTGGATTTTGTACATAAAGAGCTGCAGGGGAACTCCTGAAATGCTAGTACTTTCAACCAGCCAGAAGAAGATAGATACAGCTAATCACAGCTGTGCAGTGCTTGCACATGTGTGGGCCACCAAGGGCAGTGTTGGGAAAGAGCTGGTAGCTTCCAAAAGCTATTGATGAATTAGGCAGATTTCTGAGAGGTAGAAATTTTGGGACACTGATAAAAAAGTGCACTGATAAAAAATTTCCTTGCAGCAAATGTGTCTAAAATAAACAGAAAATTCCAGAAAATTGAGAAGTGACTGTGTCTAAAGGCATATAGCAATTCACAAAAACTGTAATAATTACAACTGTAATAATTACTCAAATTCACTTCTTTGAGATTTAAACACAGACTTGACCCCATGAAAATAAGTCATGCTGCTGATTAGAATAGTACTTAGCAAACTGGTGAAAAAAGAAGGAGGAAATACAGTGATATAAAAGCTGTGATTTTTTTTCTACATTTAGCAGATTTGCTGAACACTGTTGAGATCTGTTACTGCACCTTATTATTAAACAAAAGCCAAGTTTCAGGACATCCTCCTAAAAATGGAAGTAATGTAGGAGCAAGCACCGAGTGAGTGGAATTGCGCCTTTCACAGATGAAGTCATTTTTCTGAGCACAGCTGATATCTTTCCAAAAGCCTGTAAGTAAATAAAATCACTGTTTGACTGAAACTCTCAAATCTCTGTCACAGTGCTGAGCCCCAGACAATTCTCATAAGGCACAAAGGAAACTTCCTGAAGGCAGATAAAACAATTGCAATGTATATTACTTTCCCACATTAAGTCTTCCTTCCCTTGCAGGGTGCTTGCTTCTTAGTAATGATGGTGCAAGCAGTTTAAACTACAACATACTTGTTATCAAAAACTTTCTCCATTGTTTGACTAATTTTAGGGTAGCCTCAAATTTAAACACGGCAAACAGCTTCTGATGCCATATTATTCTTAAAATTCTCCATTTCTCAACGAAATATTTCCTTCTGCTATTTTACTCACCAAAATCTGACATTATCACACAGTTTTCATCATTATTTGCGAAATTGGGTTCACCTGGAGCCCAAGCAACATAGTTCACAGGGGTATCATCCAGCCAGCTGACAAAAAACCAAAGGGACAGTGGTTGCCAGACTTGTCTCCATCAGCTGTTTAGAGTTACAATGACTGTTTAGCAAAAGAGCTAAGCAAAGTTTCAGTAAGCATCAGAGGACAAAATCCCTATATATGCTGGAAAGGATGCATCCTCAGTGTTCCTGCTGCTTTTCCTCTGCTTTGTACTAGTCCAGTTAAGCCCCCATCAATGACCCATTTTGTATAATGACCCAGGTTGTATAAACAAGGTCATAATCGAAGGAGAGCCTTCTTGAAGTCTGCAAAAGACCGAAACTCCGAGTTTTCACCAGTGCACAGACTTCCCCTTCATCCAGAAAGGTGTCCTCCAAAAAGCCTTCTACAAACACATTTCCAAAGCAGGTATCCTATTAGGGATCTCAGAAAGCTGTTGGGTGAGATGGTGAGATGTTGCTCATGACAGCTCTCAGAACTTGAATCAGAACTTAGTCTGATTAAATGCTGGCATCTTGTCTAAGCCTCCTTGGCTCCCTCTCTAGTCATTGTAGGTCTAGTCAGGAGAAATATTCTTGTTCTAAGGTTGATGTCTAACGTAGGTCAGGTGAATGGCATCCTAAAAATATCCATTGTCTCACTTCCTATGGAGTGTTTGGATGATTAACTCAGGTCTCAGGTCAGTGTAAGACACCAAGATGAGTCTTACACATGAACTTCTATTGCTTTTGTTCTCCCAGATTTGGGAGGAAAATACTTTGTTCAAATATAGCAAACTTAATACTTTTGATATGAGGCTTCTCCTGAAACGTGTCTAGAAGTCACTTGGCCAACAGTTATTAAACTGCAAAATGAAAGCATACACTAATGTTCCCATAGAGCAGAATGAAATTATCATTATTTGTTGTCCATTACCAGTTCTAATATTCTTCCTTTTCTTACCTGAATTTCCGATCAAAGCTGGCAACTAAACCAATGAAATAGTTTTTCACACCTTTCCTGTAAATCTAAAACATAGGAGATTGGGTTAATAATAACAGTTTCTCAATCAAGCAAAAAAACTTGGAAGATCTCAGCCATGTCTGTGGTGCCTTTTTTTTTTTTTTTTTTGTACATATCTTAGATGAGATAATCTGGGCCTCCACTGGCCTTCCCCACCTCTGTAATATTCACATGCATTTTTCTTCTACCTGAAAGAAGTGATTTCTTTACAAGCCCCAGATTAATCTATCACTATTTATATTAATAAAGAAGAACAACAGCTCAGGACTATAGTCTAACAAAATAGCTAGACTTTATTTTATCAGCTGCTCTGCTTAAGAGTTTGGAAAATGTCACATCAGCATCGATGGCTGCTGATCTCAACCACATGGGCCAACCGAACAGGAAGGCTGTAGTCAAAGTTCCATTCTCCTTGGATTACCGGAGAAGACAAGGTGAAAACCATTGCTTTGTACTAGATGCTGCAAAGAAATCTTAAGCACAAACAAAAAGCAATGCAATAATCTACCTTATTGAGCACTGAAAATATGCAAAACAGAGACAAAATCATTGGTTCAAAAGTAATTCATTGTGTTGGACTCAGAGGATAATTAATAAACTAGACGCTTACATATTTCCAAAGAAATTTTCTTTCACTTTCATTCTCAATGACAACAAGATCTGCAAAGCTTTTCTTGCAGATTTCTCGGGCTTTTTCCATGTGGGCATTTTCACTGCTGAAATAGTATTGCTTATCTCTGTATATAAGCCATCCATCATCAGTGACTTCATATTCTGAAACAAAGGAGCATATATATGCATGACACACAATACTAGTATGCACGAGATCTGAGAACTATACAGGAAATTTTCCTTTGAAAGATGAAAAAAAGCCTACCAAAGCTGTTGTTCGGCTCAGGTTTTAGTAATATACCTGTAACACAAAATATCACTATGAGTAATATTCCAAATACAGAAATGCAGATGCTTTGTGCAGTTGTAAATGCTTTATAAAACAGCAAAAGAAGCTAAGGATTAACCAATGAAGTTTTAAGATTTTGGAAAATACATCACAGGACTAAAGTAAAGATTATTTATGATTTAGAAACAATTATCTACTGAAAAACGTACATCCTTAAAACCTGCATGCCTATCTCCAAAAGCATTGGCCTAAATGATTCAGGATATGTGGTAAAACACTTTATAGATGGAAACCTATGTCAGTTTCAAAAAGTATTTCAGATTCTTTCTTACTTAGCATGCAACGAATAATTTCTTTTATAGGTTTAGGATTAGAGCTAGTCAGCATAATAATCCGTTCAATACATACGATTTTCAAGCTCACCTCCCTAATGGTAAACTATTCACAAATGAAGAAAGCTTAATGCGATATTTAATTAATATTACCCATCATTTCCAGTGTCTAGACTGATTCCTTCTATTCTGATGCGTTAGCTTGTGCTAGAAAACTGTTTCTAAAAGAGTCCTGGAGAGAGCCAGGAAATCTATAGAGATACAGCAGATATCAGACCTTAGTTATAATATCACAAGGTGGATCAGGAGGAGGAAATTAACCTGTTGCTAGTTCCATAACCAGCTATAGCCCCTCAAAAGTAGCTCTAATTTCGTTCTGTTATTTTGTTCTTTGCAAAGACCATTGATTCTGATATTATCTTCCTCCATTTCTTCTGTGCTTTGGTGGTGAGGAATGCATTATTACAGAAATGATAGGAACAGTCTGAGAGATAAGCAAACAAATGAAAAATAATTTATTTTTTTCTGTGGGGAGCATTTCAATATTTTGTCCTTACATAGTCAGTGAAGAATATAATTAATATTTTCCAGATGCCTTCACAATAAATTTACATACTTCATCTTGTTTGGATTTTATTTTTTAATCCCGACTTCATGATGATATTCCTCACTTTTTGCCCAGTACAATCTTTTGATTGAATATTACTGTCATCTCAACAAAAAATTTAAGTCTTCAAAATGAATAAAACTGTCACAAAATGATAGCTTGAAAAGTTTTTCTTTTTAATCCTTAAAAAAAAAAAAAAGGCAGGCAGATAATCTGAGATTACAAGTGGTTAGCACTGTCAGTAGCCTTGCTGGTAAGGCTGATTTGGACATGTTACTCCGTGCAATAAGTAGGAAGTACCTAACATTGCTGGGCTCCTGGTGTAGCTTGGCTGCCATTCACCTACTAGAATTTACAATGCAGTGGTGAATTGTGGAAATTTTATGAAAAATGCACCCAATACAACTCCTTCTTTTAGGAGCAGCATGTGAAAACTTATGCACAGGCCTCCAGGCAGATAATGGTGTTACATACTAAAAATGACAGCATTAACAGCTGATTATTTGCAATCATCTTCTAATCCATACTCAGAATAACAAGATTAATTCTTTTTAACTTCTGAAAGATCATTGAGGATCAAGATAAACCAATCAGATTCTGTGTTTCACAGTTCCTGAACTCTTTCTTGGTTATCTCTTCAGGAACTGAGAACTACATCATTTTTGTTAGCAAAAGTCTCAAATATTGGATTGTTTCAGTGTTGTTTTAGTAATTGATTCTCTATCAGGATTGCTTTGGGACTCCAGCTTTGCTTTAATTTCTGGCAGCTTTTCAGATACGTCATTAGCTATTGCTCTACAGAGATGTACAGAAAAATCCAATTTACAACCAGGAAGCAGGGACACAAAAGCGGGGCCAAGTAAGCAAAACATGTTACTTCATTATCAGTTGTTGCTTGACTTCCTTAGCCACAAACTCCTGCTTCTCCCCACTAATAGGGCATGTAGCCAGGCACCTTTTGCACCTGATGGGACTCCCTTGCAGATGCTCAGCTCTCCCCAGTGCCCCAGCCCGAGGTGCTCGAGCACCTGGCACGAGGGCCCTGCTAGTTCTGCAGAGCTGGAGTCATCCAAGGCTGCACCAGCTTCTCTGCTTTTGATCTCTTTTGTGGCCTTGCTGGTTCCTATAGCAACTAATTGACTCTTGGCTCCTGTTACTTGTTTCCCAGCGGGAACCAACGCTTTTTTTCTCCTTTGTAGAGTGAACTCTTTTCTCCGGCTTCTTTGGCTCTCCTGGGTAAGTCCAAAGCAGGCAGAAATGGAGGGAAAATATAAAGGCGGAGAGATTTGTGCTAATGGCATAAATAGCTTCACCTTGCAAATTTATTCATCACATGGTAGAATGAGATAAAACCAGAGATAACATAATAGAGATATATTTAACCTCCTACATCTCTACATATGATTATCTGTTGCTTTTGCTTTATGTGCTGCCTTCCATCGCTCTGGTTTTAAAACAAAGAACAATTCTCAGTATCCTTCTTTTCAATTTGTTTAAATCCATGCAACTTGTTTATGAATTTGTGTTAATTACTCAAATTCAAAGAAGAAGTAATTGTACCTTTTTCTGCTTCACAAATCCAATTAAGTGAATTTTCGCAGTTCAAGTCATTCCAGCGCATTTGCGGTGATTTATTAAACATCACACAATGTTCAGTGCCTTGATAGTTGTTGGGTTCATCTTCATCCCAATACGCATAAGTTGCCTGTGTTGGAAATACATCTCTTTTATTACATGCTTTGAGCTGATTGCCTTCATCACACACTTTCAGGGTCTAATCATCCCAAATATCTAATTTGTTTGAACAATAGGAGTTCAAGGACATTTGAGAGGGCTTTGGAAGCCTCCCTAATCAGTGCACCTTTCCCATCATTCCGCACAGTAAGAGAAAAGATTAAATGTGTCCGATGAAAGACAAATTGATGGACTGAAGAAGTTGTGGTTCTCTCTCTCTCTCTTACAGAGCTGGCAGCCTGACTTCTCTTAACCGACGCAAAGCAGTGCCCCATTCTGGAGCACTATGAAGAACATAAGGGCACAGAGAGTGGAAGATGGGATATAGCATTGTCTCAGGGATGAGATAGAAGCAGAGACAGAGGCAATTTTGTACTTTCATTAGAGCGTTAAGACAGTGTCATTATATAGCATTGCAGCTGCTCAGTAAAGTGCTGCTATGGACCTGACAAAAGTTTAGAAGAGACTGCAAAAAAAGCCATAAAAAGATGAAAATGTATGTATTATAAAAGCCAGAGAGCCAATTAACATCCAACCAATTCACAACTCACAGGAGAACCATCAATCCAGGCATATCCTTCATCAGGATTTAAGTGAAACAAACCTATCCAGAAAGCCTGAGTATTCAGTCCTTTAGCCCTAAAATAAAACATATAATATAGATACATAAGTGTGGAAAGAAACCCTGCATGCTGGAAAGCGTGCAAACATGCTGCTTTCTTTCTCGTCTTAATTTGGAGCTGGTCCTCCACTTCAGTAGTCTACTGTTGGTCCACAGCCAGGATCACTGCTTCCACCCTTTGTCAAGGGGTTTCTCCTGTGGTCTGTAGCCAGAACAAGACTTGCTATATTGAATAGTTCTCATTATTTGTCTCCTCCTATCTATGGACCAGATAAAATATAGTCCTATTTCACTCACTGCAAAGCTTATTCAGCTTTTCACAGTAATAATTAATATGTTAAAGAAGGGAGAGCTGACAAAGACTTTTCTGTATCACAGTTTTAAATCTCTCTGATATTACTCCTGGATTCGCCATACTCTGAAGTACAACTTTTGTGAGATATCTGTATATCACATGCCACCGACGTGTCTTCATACTGTATCAAGGAGGAGGTGACAGGCACGCTGAAGATGGAAGAACATATGAGACAGCGGCCACTGGCACTTTGGGATATTATCTTAAAAAACACAACCAAAACGTAGTGGCTTAATCTGTAAAGAGAAGTCCTATAATTTCTACACTGTGAGTAGAATATAGCATCTAAAATGCTAGCATAAATAAATGAAAATGAATTCAGGCTAGATTTTGGGTGTCTGTAGTCAATATTTAGAAAATCTGCACATTAAGTTATTGTACTTTGATTTACATTATACTACAACTGAAGGGTTTTTGAAAGCATCTATCAAAATATGAATTGCATGGAAAACATATTCAACATTTTTATACTGGAGTATAACAGTTTTTCAAAAGACACAGATTCGAACATTTTCAGTGTTGCTTTTTTGGAAGAGGGACAAACATTTATAAAGTTGATAAATCTGGAGAAAAGCTATGATAAAACAGTGTGACAAAAAAATTAAAAACTTCAAAAAATGCAATTAAATATTCAAGATGATTTTTTTTTTGAAAAATTCAGCATTTTGGTTTGATATTTTAAACGAAGAAAATCAGTTATCACTTAAAAGGGAATTTTTTATTCAGTCATTTGTTCCACAGATTTGGTTCAGCCATAGGTCCACAGATATACTGAAGAAATTTTGATTTAACATCATATTAACATAAAGAAGAACAGTTGTGCAAGTACTCACGATGCTAATTGCCATATTAGAATTTGATCTTCTCTTGTTTTGATTGTAACCAGATTTCCTCCTATTTCTCTACAGAACTCTTCTGCTTCATACCAAGTCTTCTTTTCATTTCCCATCCTAACAAAAAACTAACAAGAAAAGTTTTAACAACAAATTATTACATATAACATGTAAAGTATAATATATAATAATATATAATTGCATATTTAATTAAAAAGTGTCACAGTAGCACACATTTTATATTGAGGCAACTTAACACTTTACAAGCCCCAGCATTTAAGCATTACTAATGTAGACTACATGTGTTTTTTTCTTAGCATCCTCTCTTACAAAATATTAAGGGAAGATAATAAAAAATAATAGCATGGGAGTCTGGGGAGACCAGCTGATATCACAGTATACAGAGAAGAAAAAGCAGTTCATAATTAGCCAGCAGTTTGAACACTGAAAGGCTTAAAGGAAAATAAAATAGTCAAGTATCATGCGATAGAAAACAGATTTTTCAGAAATAGATGGTGGGGGAAATCAATATATCATAATAGAAAAAATACTGTGAACAGGGAAAGTCATTCTGCAAGGGAGAGACCCTGGCTGAGGAGTTTTTTGTCCGGTGGTGCAAGCTCAGAAATCACCATTTGGCAAATGGCAGAACAAATAAAGTTAGTAATAAAAAATAGTCCTGTGACATGTGAGGAAACTGTCAAGATCTTTATAAACACTGGCCTAAAACATCTCAGCCAATCCAACAGGCAGTGTCTCAGGAGACAAAACGAGGGGATACTTACATAAAGATCTGGAATAGCGATGTTTGTTAAATACTTTCAAAAAGAAAAAAAAAATGAGGCATTTTTAGCCTTTTTTAGTTCAATCAAGAAAATGTGCTTGATTTTTGTCTACTTGCTATAGTAGAATGGAATCTGAAAGTATCACCAAAAACTTGATGTTCTCTGTAAGGAAAGGTTGACACTGGGCCAGGTTTTCATTAGTTTTCTTTTAAGAAACTTTGTCCTATACAATGACCCTGCCAACTCTTGAGATGCAATAGCCTGTTCTTCTGAAGTCCCAAACTTCTGAAGTAAAGAAATCAGGTGAGAATTTCCCCTGACTTTTTTGTACTTAAGTACCATGGCAGAGATGATTCCCAAGCAATAACGCAGAGCCCGGGAGGGGGATATGGTGTGGCCAGGACATGGCAGTTGTCCAAGGTTTCCTGGTGCAAGCTCACCTTGAGGCACATGCCCATCCGGGGCGCGGGGTCCCAGCCAGCAGCGCATGTGGCAGTGGGCGCCCGTGATGGAGCTTCCCCAGTCAGCTGTTTGCAAAGAAAATTTGCTCTCTCCTCGCAGCTGACAACATCCCATAACCCCGCAGCAATGCCAGTTCTCATGGCAACGCAGCCTCGCTCCTTTCCTTTGTGATACAGAAAAAAAAATGAGTAAAACCAGAAGCAATTTGCGCCCTAAGAGATCAGACCTTTGCTTCCATTCAGTTTCAGTTGCAATTATGGAATGGGAGATGTGGGTCCTGCAGACTAAAAACTAGCCCGAAGGTATAATTATTTTTAATACCACCACCACAGCCCAGATGTGGGCCAGTGCATGTCTCAGACACAGACGCTCTCTCAGACACTCTCCTTGCCAGAAATGGGGAGTCACAGAATTAGAATATAAATCTTCCTTACCTTGCCACCTGGAAAGATCACGAAGCAAAGAGCACTTGATTTTATATACATATGCAGAAGATATCCTGACAACTACTTTACAGTTATCAACATTTAGGTGATTCACTTTCAGGGAAGCTAATATCACATCTAAGAAGCCAGTATAAAGACCTAACTAGTTATTGTCAAGGCAAGAGTTTTCAGTCAGACACTTCTGTTTTGGTGGAAGGCAGAACAGCTGGAAGTTTTCTGCACTTTTTACAAATACCCTTGACCCCATTGTGGGTCAAGTATTCTGTTCATAGTTGTTTCCCAATCTGATGAACTATTATTAACCAGCATTGAAAAGTGGGGAAAAAAAAAAAGGAGACTACAGCTGTTGTTAGACGCTGCATGGTATTGCCTTATTCATTTCTAGGATACCAGAGGATGCAAAGAAGCCCTCAGATTTCAGCAGGCTCCCATCACAGGCAATAGCCCTATGTGCCACATACCTGCCATGTCTGTATTCCAGTGTGTGAAGAGAGGAGTTTTGCCACTGGTCCACCTGAAAGTCCCACGCTCTTCGAAGTTCGAGAGACCAATCCAGAAATATTTTTCGTGCCTCAGCCCAGTCAGACTAATTAGAAAGGCTTGCTCATTTCTGAAAAGCCAAATAACATTCAAAACCAAAACGTTACCCTGCAACGTTAATCTGACAGGTGTAAGTGGAGGCATCCCTACCATGCCAGAATGACTCCAGAGAAATGCTTCCTGAATGAAGTTCAAGAAAAACCTCAGCAAATTTTTAAATGAGGTCAGAAGAATTTGGCAAAGGACAATTTTCTCCTTTCAGCTGAAGGCATCTTCCTTCTTTTCGTCCCTGTTCTGTGACATACCACTGGTCGAAGCTCAACTCACACAGTCTTTTGTTGGTAGTCTAATACTGTTGGTCCTTGCAAGATTTTATTCTGCCTCAAACCCACCAGCTGTCAGGACCAAACTACTAACAGGTTTGTCGCTTCTTGACTGTGAAAGCATCTGTACTCTTCATAGGCCATGGAGATAGACTGAAATACAAGCAAGCTAGAGATGATGCAGCTCCTGCTGTGATGAGGCAAGTCACAGAGAAGAATTCCTACACTTGTTCAGCATCTGCTTTTAGAAGGTGGCTTAGGAAAATATTTTATTAAATCTTTCCTACCATAGTGAACCTAGGCCTAACAGCAATCAGTATGCAGAACTAACCACTTTCCAAAACCAATAACAGAAAAAAAAGAATAAAACAGAAGCTGCTATAATTAGGAACTGAAGGATGAGAGAGTGTCCTTCTTTGATCTAAATCAGGCTTACCTGAAAAAAATGGAAACTGTTATAGTAGATTGAGTAAAAAACCTTAAATCATTTAAATCCTTTAATCTTATTTCCTTGCATGAATCATTTTACTTGGCTTATTGTGCTGAACACTGTTGAAAAGCCCTAGTAAAACACTTTGACAAGAGTTAAAAAAATGAAAAGGTTTTGCAAGATTTTGCACCAGATTGGTGCACAGATTTGGAAGTAGAAAAAAAAGATACTTTTCCTACCTGTTTTCCACTGTAGTGAGATATGCTTTGTTCTGTTCACACGTCTTATTTGCATCTGAGAATGTTAAAAATGCAGAGCCCACCAAATAGCAATGAAAACCGTGTCTTCTCCAACCCTGTAGAAAACATAAGGTTCTTAATGTGAAATTGAAAGAGGCTACAGTATAGAAATTAGCTCTGCTCTTTTGTATACTCTCATATATTTATATCTGTTGTTAAATTTGTTGCCGTAAACCAGTTAACTGATAGCAATGAAGGGCCTACTGAGTAGTCTATTGGGAGAAACATGGTACAAAAAAATGGTTCTTTCTGTTTTGAAAACATTTTCTTTTATAGCTGCTGCAATAGTCGCTATAGTTTTTAGTAAAAAAAATCAGCATATAGACAGTGACAAGAGACAAAGTGGCTTTGGGTAATTCTGTATGTACTGTTTGGCTAAGAGCCTAAACAGAGAAAAGAGTAAATTGTTTATGAAAAGAAATTTGTGATTTTGTACAGGGTGAGTCTCGTGGGAAGGGAGGAAAAGGAGGCATTCATATACATGTGAATGAATCTTGACTGTGTTCCTTAAGTATTTTCAGAACAAAAATAAAAATTATGCTAAATATATTAGTTATGTGATAATAGGAAAATAAAGAGTTTTCCCAGGAGTAGATTCTCTAGAAGATACGGACCAACACAAATTCTCTAAAAAAGCAAGAAACAGTAAACCCTTTAATTCTTCCCAACATTATTTATGAGAGAGCATTTACTCTTTGGCAGCCTGGGTCTTTGATCTTCTCTTCCTCAGAGGATTGGGATGAAGATTCCTTTTTACAGATGTAGCCAAGTTTCTTATCACAAATATCAGTGGCCCAATACCCATCCTAGAGTTGTACACAGACGAAAGGAATGGAAAAAGAGGGACATGCATAAACCTAAGAAAACTTGTATTTTCTTCTGCCTTCACTATAAGCACACTGAAATATGCTAACCTGGGAAGGATGTAGGATCATTGCTGGAGGTATAAAAAAACAGACACATCTGTCGGGAATTACTTAAGATACATTGGATGCTATTTTGAGATGAAAGAGTGAAATAAATGACGTCTTAATGCCTCAGAGAGTTATGACTGCTACTATAACTATCTATTTCATGAGAGGATCTATAAAGATATATCTCATCTGGAACTAATGGAACCACATTTACTACAGTATTATTTCACTACTCCTAGGGCAGAGTTCAATGAAACAGAGATAATGCAGGTCTGAGTGTATCACAGTAAACGTGGCTATTTCATCAATCACGGATAAGTTACCGTGAAAATTTTTTTTAAGAAAGGAAGTGTGTAAAAAGTGCAATTGAAATAGAGGCTTTGCTTTTTCCAGAAAATCTGATTTAAGGTCAGTTCTACTGAAGCCTAGTACTGTAAAATACCAATATTATTCTATGACATAATAGTTCTGCATTTCTTTTCAAATTCATGACTCTGTGCATAAATGTGTCTAAACCGAAAAGTCTATATACTGCAAGACAACAGAGGTTGTGAATCAATCATTGCTTCAACTAAATTAATTAGATGAAATCTAAATTAGACTAAATCAATTAATTAGACTAAAGCTAATGGGAAATGCTACTTCCCTATTTCTGACATCTTCTCTCCTCTGAAAGTCTCATCTGATTGATGCCCATTTATGAGAAATATATTAAGCTGAGATATAAAATGGCTCCTAGACAAGTTTGTAATGGAAAGTAACTTCAATCTGATGCCAGTATTACTTTGGCTTGCTCTAAAATGCTTATACCTGTCCCTTCATGACAACACAGTTTTCTAGACCACTTGGGTAGGTGGGATGTCCACGTTGCCATGTGGTGAACGTCACAGGAGTCCCATCACTCCACTCAAAATAGAAGTGAACCTTGAGATCGTTCAGACCAAGCCATAGTTCTTCTGTTGGCTCTGAAGTATAAAAAGAAATATGCAAGGTACAATGCAGTGCATTGCGGTGAGCATTATCCCATCTTCAGTAAACAGGGGCAGGACAAAAGTTTGGATGTCAGGATGGATAAGGTTTTGTGCTTTAGCAAAAATATCTGTTCCTTCTAGGATCTGCAGTAAAAGTTGCCCTGATCCCCATTTTAAAGGTCACAGATTCCTTCCAGAATCTTGAATTTAATAAATATGTGCCTCTTCAGGGCTCACGGAAAATTTTTGCAAAGTGTTTGAGCATCTGTGGCTTAGAACAATTAAATAACCCTTAATAGCAAGGTTAGTATAGTCCATGGCTACATGTCTCTCTCCTGTCAGGTGAGCCAAGCCATTCAGATGTTCGCCAGTGCAACCCCTCACCTGGCGAACTAAAAGTTAGTGAGATTTCCTCTGTGCAATGCTCTTTTCTTTACCTAGCCTGATCCTTCGAAGCACTCAGCTCAATTTCCACTGTTTTCAGTGGGAATGCTGCAGAGGCTAAAAGTTGAGCATAGGGTACAAAAAAGTCCTGTTGGTTTGGAGCACTGTTCTGAGGATACTGACCATAATATAAAGACAGAAAAGATGAAATTATTAAAGATCTTTATATGCTTCTGTTAGGAAAAAAAAATGTGGGTTTCTTTCTTTTAACACTTTTAAAATTTCAGTGCATCATAGATTATATCTTGATAAATATAAATACACTTACATGTATATGCAACAACCTAAAAGAGCACCATAAATTAGATCCTGCCTTGGGCTTCTGACATTTCATAGGAAACCTTAACAGCTAATACTAAACCCAGCTTTTAGGCTACGGATGGGGCAAACAAAAAGCAGACGTTCATATATACTCACTGTAACCAAGCTGTGACACTAGAAAGCTTAATTCAGCAACACTCTGGACACTTGCCAGATCTCCATCTTGTCTCTTACATGAAGTCAGAGCATCTTTCCATACTTTGGGTTCTCTTTGAATGGTATAACAGTGGCCTGCATATGGCTGCCAACCATCAGTGCATTTAACAGGTCTCAATTTCTCTAAAATGAAAATACAATTGTTTCAGGGCAATTTTATAAAGAGGAAATTCCCAGATGACAGGCACTAGCAGATCCCTTCTGTTCACAACCTATGGCTGTGTCATTTGTGGCCTGCATGGCATAGCTGGTGTGAATGCTGCTGCTCCTCCTGCTCTGCTCATATGTGTTGTGTACATTAATATTAGTAACTGTAAATGGTCATTTGGAGCAAATGAGAAGCATAAAATTCCTACAGTATTTGCAGATTGTTTGTGTTTAGCATCTTTGTGAGAACTGATGTTGCACTGTCTGCATCCTTTGTAGTTCTTTATAAATTGTTCTTTCTAAAGTTAGACAGACTTTACTTGATTAACCTACCCATGGGTATGTCAGTCTTTGAACTGGAGTTTCTCTTTTCACAGATGTATCTGAGTCTCTGATTGCATGCTTGGTTTTCCCATTTAGCATTCTTTCTGGGACTCATCACTCCACAGATTTTCCCAGGGGCTGAGAAAGGACTTCCTTTGAGAAAGAGAGAAAATAGGATCTCTATATAAGCACAGCAAAAATAAATAAAAACAATTACCAAAAGATCGCATTATCAGTGGGAAGATCAGCTTATTGCGATTTTTTTAATTCTCGTGATGAAGAATGCCTTCCTCCATAGGACTGCTGCTGCTGTAGCTTGTAAGATGCTGCTTTCAGTCTCTGGCTTTGAGTCGGAAGGAAAATTTAAGCTGGGTGAATGGGCAACTGTACATTGCTTTTGTTCTACGATAGTATAAGGAACTTCTTAATTCTTTTCCTAATATCCTGGCACACACTAACAACTGAAGATAGATGTTTTTCCTTCAAAAAAGTTGTCAAAAGCTTATTAAATATAAAAATATTCCATTTTAAGCAGTTGCACCCATCTAGCTGTATCAGTGGTTTCCCAAACATACTTTCCTATAAAACTTTTTTTTTTTTTTGGGGGGAGGGCGGTGAAAAAAACTGTTTAAGCAGCAGAGGAAATTGCCTGATACCAGATTTTTGAAAACTCGGAGCAGACTTATTCTTTTACCACTTGCAATTCTTGCAAAACTGAGGGCAGCTGGGAATGCTGGTAACAGAAAGAAAACATGTAATTGAAAAACTAACAATTCAACAGCAGAAACCCCACTTTCCTGGCACCAGCGAATCCCCATGCTACCCACTGCCACCAGCCTTGGGTCTGGGCTTCCTGCTTGCTGCGCAGTTGCCGCAGACCTGGCCCTGCCTCCCTGCCTTGAGGTGGCCAGGGGAATTCTGCATGTGCTGCCCAGGAATTATGAGCTGCTTTGCAAGCTCATAATAATATTTAGAATTTTTCCAGAAGATGTAGTGCCATTATTTTCTAAATATTTTGCTACTTTAAAGATTTGATTTACATTTGTACTTGTGAATAATATGTTATGGAAAAATTTTGCTCTCTGATCTCTAGGGTAATATTTCACTCCAAATAATACTCTCCTTTTATAAACAAGCTCTTTGCTTATATGAGAAAAAAAAATGAACCTGCTGCAACTGATATCCACAGTAAACTCAGCAGTTTGAAAAGTGCACCTTTAAAGATAAAGGGCTAGATCTTCAGCTATTGCAAATCAACATGGATCCACTGAGCTAAAAATACTAGACCTAAAAGTACTAAGGTAGATTTTATCAGTTAGTGTCTGGTCAGAATCCAGTCAGAGATTATAAAATAGGTTTAGCTCTTACCTGGAGCCCAGTTTAAATACCTGAAAGGATGGCCCCCAGCCCACTGCCATCCACTGTTGAAATTCAAACCATTCAATCCAATCCAGAAAGCAAAATTGTATTTTTTGATTAGCTCTAAATTAGAAAAGAAAGTCAGTGGCAGCTTATTGTCCTCACTATTACCAAGACACAATGAAGAATATCAGAAATAAGGAATTTACATTTCTTAGTGTATACCAGTCCAGCCTTTCCACATTATTGAAATGCACAAACTGAACACATAAAACATGTAAATGAATAAATATAAAGGTGGCAGAGATCTCTTCTGAGTGATGGAAAGAGCAAATCAACATTTTATTTCACTGACTGAATGACAGTTTACTTCTCTCACTTTGCCAGCAAGTCCAATTTCATTAAAATGAGTTATAAAAAACATCCACTATTTTCATTACAGAACTGTGCTAAAATGTTGCTGTAATAGAGTTTTTGAGTAAACTCTTCAAAACTCTTCTTCTTACAAGCAGCAGTGTGCTGCTTTCTGACTTTTTTCTATGTTAGTGTTTCCAAAGCTTCCTTCTTGCCATTTATACCCAAAGTGGTATCATTATTCTTGCATCCTGAAATCTGTTAGAACTGTTTGGACCTTATGCATGCACCATACCCATATTTGGTACAAAGCTAACCATCCTTTCTCCTAGAAAGAGTCTTGAAACACAGAAGAAAATTTGAGGAACAGAGCACATTGAATGTGAGCCCTCAGGAGGGAAGGTGAGAGGAGGATCCCTTTGCCCAGGCTGGGCGAAGCCCAAAAAATGAGCTGTCAAAGATGTCGTAGATCCCACATGCAGCACATGGGTGGGATAAGGTCATTTTCCTCCCTGAACATGTCCTGGACCAATCCTTCACGTTTTAAAAAAAAAAAAAAAAAAGTTACTGCTCTGTCATTTACCTCCAATATATGTTTGCTCTTCTCTCTCTGTGATGCTTAGTAGTTCTGCATTTTGCTGCTGACAGCTATTCCTTGCTTGGTGCCAAGTTAGAGTTGATTCTAAGTTTATCTGATAGTGAACACCAGTTGATGCATCTTTTGTCCAAAATCTTTTTGTGTCATCTGGAAAGGGAAGTAAAATTCAACACTGCTATTAGGTGATTGACATTGCATGAACTGAAAACAAAACAAGCATGTCATATTTTTATGTGAATGTGTGCAAATCAAGTATGCGTAATTCAAAATCTCGAACCATGCACAGCATTAACTGCGTGGTATCGTGAGGTGTCATTTTCATCTGGGTTACTCTGACAAGGTATATCAAGAGAGCAGGTAGCTGGAACCTTATAATGGATCTGATAATAGTTCAACAGATGGTTTTATCAACAGAATTTCATGACAAGTTGATAAATAAAACGAGGACTCATTTTTTGATGGGCAAAATCCATACAACATATTAGCATGAAAGTCTGCAGTTGTTGCACACCCACAGAAAGCTATCATCGGACCTGCCAGCATTAAATTTGAAAGGGAATACACAAGGTAGACCTTTGACATTCCCTTGTAATGTAAAAGTATCTAAGGAGAAGAAAGAATTAGGAAGACATATGAAAATGATCTTGTCATGAAAAATCTAACTTTATAATAATAAATCTCTCTGTTTATCTCTGAATCTATCTAGCTATCTGAAATTGAGAGGTTACAGCATCTTTTTAAAGTCAATTTTATCATTTTCCCTTGTGTAGCTAGAGATTTTAAATAAAATGTTGTATTAGTAAGATTTGGATTTTAAGTGACATTTTTAGAGTTCACATATATGATCTAAACATTAAAGGATACATACACCTTTTAGGAGAGTCTAATCCTCACCTGTGATTATAAAGGGCTGATAAATCACAGTTCTTGATAACAGAGAGCCCACAAGAGCTCCTGCTCACTGCATTGTAGTAGTCTTTGTGGTTCAATAGATTCATGCTATCATGCAGAATGGTCGTTTTATCCTGAAATTTCAGATTGGACACTGGTTCATTGAGATATATATTGCTTTGCCATTCCTCTTTCTGCAGCTATACACAACAAGTGGCATCTGTCCTTAGCAGCTCTTCTATTTGGGTCAGACTGGAAGGGAGGAGCCAATTGTTTCTTCTCATACCTTACATCTTGCAGGAGAAAAGGAAGCTTGTACAGATAAAATGAAAACAAAGAGCTTTAAAATCTTGCAACAGATAACTGCACCTCCGGTGTACTGGGAGGGTAAACAGAGAGAGCTCCATGTTTCCTCCTCTCCCATCACCCTCCAATACAGTGCCATCAATAATCTAATTCAGTATCTCCAAAGAAAGAAAGAAAGAAAGAAATTTAAATGTGAAGATCACTTCTTCTTACCTATTTTTTCCCTAAAAAGCTTATATCTCTTCTCTTTTACTCTGTACATCCATAACTGCCAGAATAATACCTAACATACTCTCTATATCCTATATTGAAATTTGAAACATATACAGAATAGGCAATCTGTACATTAAAACTGCCCAATGCAAAGCATTTTCATATCTAGTTTAACACAAAACCAAAAGCAGGAGACTTACCCAGTGACTGCAAAGTACAGTGCACAAGGGATAGGAAAACTAAGAATCTGGAAGGCGTCATGGCCAGTGGAACTTTCCTTTCATTCCTTTATCGGATTACAAGATTTGCGATGCATAAAATCCTTCTGAGTGAGGATAGCAGCAGGTCTCCTCTGTGTCAGAGGGTTGATAGATAAAGTTCTGGACTTCAAATAAGGAAGTATCCTGTCACATGTGGCATTTTGAAATAAGTAGAAGGTGTATTGCAAACACTGCTCTCTGAAGTGCTTGTCACATACAAAACTCAAGTCTCCATCCCCATTACTAGAGGTGGTAAGTGGACACTCACCTTTTTGTGGAACTTAGCTGATGTCTCACAGGGGTCAGCTGTTGAGGTGTAACATAGGCCAGACCTCTAAAAGATCAGCTTGAGCATTGGTTATAAGATACCTAAGTGAAGTATTCAAGATTACAAACTCATCCTTAGATTTAATATCTTGAAGAAAGAGGGGACAATCTCCAGTGGTCCACTGCATTTCTTCAGCCTAACAGCTCAATGTGAGAGAGTATTTTACAGGACCTGCAGTATTCAGTCCGTTACACATTATTGCTCACTTTGAGAGCTAAAATTGCTTCTGCTCTGTGCTAATTGCACTGCTTGCTTAGATTGCACTCTCAGGCTTGGCAGTTTATAACTACTGGTCAAAGATCTGAAAGTGAAGAAGTTTGATGCTGCTGGCTAAGCCCCTCTGTCACACCATTAAAAAAAAAAAAAAAGAGCTTTTGTCCAGAATGGTTTGTCAAGGAAAATTATATATCTGCCTTCCTGAGAAATTCCTAATACAGCAGTTCTAAGGCAAAAGCCAAAAGGAAGCTAAACTGAAGAACATCCTCTTAACCTGTGACCAAAGTGCTTGCCTGATGATTTACGCTGGCAAAGAATTCTGGTACAATTATCCCAATATGGTTCAATTGGCAAATCTGAAAAATGGACAAATCCTACTGTTTCTTCTGTTTGTTTTTATGAGTGCAATTAAAAGAAGTTGTGATGCAAAAAGTAAAGAAGCATGAAGTCGAATGATCAGTCTATGCATAGTGGGATATCATGTACAGAAGCTGAACTGCAGATGTCACAGGAGGAACAACTATCTCTGCTTCCGTTTATAAGGCTGTGAAGAAAATTACTGAAAGAAATAGCCAAAAATGATAACAAAATTCTCAGAGAAAAGCAACACAGAAAATCATAATTCCTAAAGGCCTCAGCCAGCTTCAGTTGATAATTTACATTACTATAAACCATAAAATTCAAAATTCCCTCCAAAAGTAGCTATAAAAAAGAAAGAAGAAAAGACTTCCATATCAAATGGGCAAATGAAAGCACTCTCAGAATTTCATTTTTATTAAATTACGAAACACAAAACGTGTTATGTCTCTAGTTGCAGTAAACCCAAGAATTCATTCTGTGTAATTACTTGGCACATACTAAAATTTTTCCTCATTCTTGTGGATGGCTGCTCTTTGGAAAAAGCGAAACTGTTTCAGGAAAACAGAAAGAAATGCAAGAATAGAGTGAATGGAAAATCTCCCTGCAGATGATATTGTGGGACAGATGAGTGTCTGCAAGGTGTGTGAGGTTGACCCAAAGTCTTAAAGCTGAGTGATGCCACAAAAAATGATGAAGTAGGAGAGAAATGGAGGTGGAGCCTAAAAAGAAAAAACATCAATCAGAAATGTCTGAAATCATCAAGTGAAACAGCTCTCACAGAGGGACTCCCTTTGGAAAATTCTTGGAGGACACAATTCCTGCTCAGTGCCTTCCTGTGCCTAATGCAGGTAGGTGTCATCTGCACTCCAGTCCAAACTGAGCTTTAGTTCCCTTATATAAGGGGGCATTCATGAGGTGACACCTCCCCAGGGCTGCTGAGCAATGGGTCTGGGGGGAGTTGGTGCTGGCAGGGGTAGACTGAAGGAGGGGTGAAAATTCAACGCTTCGCAGCTGCCTCTCTCACACAACCAGAGAACTCAATGCTCCTTGGGTGTCCACTGTCCTGCACACTGAATTTCACTGGTGCAAGAGGTAGATCTCACTAAGTGTGTTCAATTCTTGGCTTTATTTATGGAAAAAACATGCTCTAGGGTTTAGTACATAGAAAGAAAGAAACCTTCATTCCTTTTTTTTTTTTTTTTTTAATATATTAACTGTCTGTCTTGCACAAGAGTCCTTGAGGAGTTTAGATTATGTAGGTTGCATGCTGGGGCTATCATCCAAACTTTATTCCTCCAGAATGATTAGTGCCTAAATTGTGTTTGCATTGCACCTGAACTCTATTTTGCATTGTTTTTTTTTGCACTCTTTTTCTTATGTCATAAACATCGCCTTTCCACAGATTCCTAGTACAGTATGTGCTGCAAGCCTGAATTTTCAGTTCCTCTTTTTGCATTTAGAAATGGAAAGCTGAGTTTGGAGTAGTGAGAAGAAAAGCCCTCCTTGTTACTTGCAAAGAGATGCTTCCTCTTTTCACAAATGACATGCCAGGTGCATGGCAGGAATTTCTCTCTGGCTCAACAGTTTGTGGCAGTTTGGCTGCTCCCTCGGGCTGTGGCTTTTTCCTGAGTCCGCGTGACTAGTAACAAATATATTTAAAGCGTCGGCACATTTTCTTATGCACTTCTGTTTATTTTCATTTCCTAGTTAATATTGAAACACTTCTCAGGGGCGCTCTTTGGCCACCAGTGTCTAACATCATTACTGGGAACAAAAGTATTCTCTGTTGAGCACAATAAGTTGATGTTCAGAATGAAAATAGAGGTATGGATGTCACACATCCATGAGAGACTGCAAGGCAGGGTCTGTGGGAAAGGAAAATATTGGGACATTGTCAGGTGTTATGCTTGGGAAGGGAACCATCTACTTCCAGGAACGTAAAGCTGTTTGTCAGTCAGTACCTACTTGTACTATGGAAAGCAGAAAGGACTGTCCTTCATCCACAGGGAATTTTGAAGGTGAAAATTATATTAATACAACCCTCTGTTTATTTCAAGTCATTAAAAAGAAGAAGGAAAAACGCAATGTTTAAGCCCTTTTGCAAGGGTGAGAATATTTTAATTCACATATATTGAACATATTACAAAATCACTCATATTATCAGATTGAGAAAAGACATGACTGAACTTAATATCCTTTAATGGTGTGAACTGCATTGTTCATAGCAGAAAATGAGAATGGCAAGGTTTTATCTAACAACATTATCTGAGATAAGCATTCAGAGCTACATTTTTAAAATCCAGATAGTAGCAAACAGCTATAAAAATCTATCAATCAATCAGAGAGGTTGTTGGAGTGAGGCTTGTGGGGTAAAAAGAGTTCAAGATGACAACAGAATTAGAATTTTTAAGTTCTTGGTATTGTTCAAAAGGATATGGAAGTCCAGTTGTATATAAGAATCACACTTTATTGAATATTTATTCTCTCTAGTTGACTTTTATAGCTGTTTTTCACTATGGTCATTTGTCGACAGGTAACTTACACTAGTGTTTTTGCTAAGATATGTAAGGACAAACTGTTACAAAATTATAACATAAGCCAATAACTATGAGTTTGTAAATTGTGATATCAAAGAGGCTTAAATAAAAAAAACTGAAAAAAAAAAAAAAAAAAAAAAAAAAAAAAAAAAAAAGAGAGAGAGATTTAAGATTACATATATCCTCACTGGAGTCTTTTAACAGGCACATCATTTAATTTCAGCAAGCATCTTGTTTCTCTGAACTGATAACTGCCATAGGACGCATTCTCACCAATTTCTTAATCACCAAAATCACCAATACTGCATTTTCAAAGGGTTTCATTGTCATTCTCTCTTGACAGTTGGTTTTGTCTTTTTTTCTTGTAACAGTAGATTGATAAGCCAGCTCCAAGAAGAGTGAGAATGGCCAGGAAACCCAGTAGCCAAACAGACAGATGAACAGATGGATGAATCTCTTCTGAAAATGAAGGCATATTACTGTAAGAAACTTTGCAATTTTTTAATTCCACAGAAGACATGAGAAACAAGATGAAGATGTTCTCTGCAATCTGAACTTGGAGTGAGTCTGCTTGGTGTAGACCTGAACTCTAAATAGCCGCTGGTTAGTAGCCAGGTTCCGTTTGCTAAAGCTAATGCTTGGTCTCAATGAATCTGGATTGTGGTGATATACAAAGCTCTCTATGAATGCACTACATGTACATAAGGATTCAATTAGTAATGTATCCATCTATGACATTCATTGTTCAACAGTTGTGCTCAATGACTGGTCGCCTTCATGGCAGGCATTGCTTCTGCTTCCAACTAATGAAAAATAAAGCTGGTTCTCAAAGTAAGGGCAATATTCTGCTTATGATTCATAGCGACTTTCTGCCCCTTGGCCAGAACTATCTAAAGCACATCCTTAGTCCATGCACTGTTCTATAACTTCCTTGTTCCTACTGCCAATCTCGTCATATACAGTCCTTTATAAGACTGTGAAACAATGTGAGAACAATAATCTTGCATCATCTTAGTAGCTTGCAAAATATTGAGGAGCTGGGATAAGAAAATTCTCTCCATGTTCTCCTACTTCGGGGGTTATTGCTGTTGTTGGCCCTCATATAATGCATGGAAAACATGGAAGAAACTTGGGATATCCCCTGCTGCCTTATTGAAGAAACAATAAATTCCAAACTCAGGTACGAACTTTGGTCCATATAGTGCAGATCTTATGATAGATGAGATCATATAATCACCTTTTTAACTATTATCCTTTAGAGATGGATATGGGATGCTAATTATCTGGATGTGAATTATCCAATATTTTCATGTCAGAGTGCTTACAGTAATACCTATGGAGCAAATTCGCAAAGACATCTCCCTCTAAATGTACATGGGTTTTGACAGTGAAGTTAAAGTTCTCTCTGCTTGTTCTTGAAGTCAGTCATAAATTAGCTCATTGCTGAGCTCATCGGCTTGGGCAACACAGCTGACCAAATATGTGGAAGAGGGAGCACTCACACATGTGTAAAAAACAGTGAGGGCCTTACCCTGCGTGACCTATAACCATGCATCCCAGTAACTGCCAACAGGGTTTTTCTGTAGGGGTAAGTAAGTGGCTTAGGAAAACTCATTTTAATTTCTTGTAATTAGATTTTCATTAGCTTTTTTATGAAAACTCCTACCTTTCTCATGCAGAGGACTCCCACTTGGCGCAACTTCAGTGAAGATCAAAGAGAAAAAATATGACACTTCATCAGAATCTATGAAAGTTTGACTATTTCACTGAAATTGTACAGGAACAAAAAACCCTAAAGGCGTATCGTGGCATTAATTAGAAGTGAGGCAAAAATCAAGTTACAAAGACTATATCTTCCTACTTAGTAACACTAAACTATAATATTCGAATCATTTTTATATCAACTAACATTCAAATACTGACTATTTTGGCAATATTTAGCTCTTGGAAAAGTCAGAATTTTCCAAGTATTTGATAGATACTATACTATGTTAGGTATTCAAAAGTTTCCTGAAAGTTTTATTCTCAGGCAGGAGTGCATACAGCATACTAGCATGTTCACATACAAGTGAAGACAGTGCTCTGAAGATCTCAGTCTACAATAACAGGCAACCACAAATGTTTATAAAAATGAAATAAGACAAACTAAACTGTCAGTACGCAGTTGCAGACATAGTTTATAAAATATCTTCTGAACAAATTAATATTTGTTAATATTAATAACGGGGACTAGAGCAACATCCCAGAAACAATTTTTCAAAATGCGGACTGACAATACTCCATTAACTTAGAACTTCAATTGTGTCTCAAGTTGAATGAACCAGAACTGAGGGCTGCAAGGAGCCAAAAGAGAGAAATTATGCTCAGTAGTAAACAATGAACTGAAATTGAAAATTACCCAGTACAAGGGGAATATAAAAATGATATAAGCCATCATCTGTTTAAGCGAAGACAAAACTTGAAAACAGAATTGATTGAGAGTTGTTAATATCTTATCTGTGGCATTAACTTGATCTAAGGCTATGCAGTGAGTGCAGAGACCACCATGAAGCCCAATTAAATGTATTCATAAGGTAAGTTACTTCTCATTTCTCCATGTCTACCTCAAAATAGAGTTACTATTTTCTGAGGTTTTACTCTTCAGTAGAACAAGCTCGTCTTTTATCTTAAAGTTTGTTTAGTATTTAGGTTGATTTCAGGGATCTCCTTGAGGTTTATAATGGAGATTCATGGGTCCCCTTGACATTTAGGTAAATATATGGACATGGAAAGTTCTGGAATAGCACGGCTTGGTATGTAATTGTCATAAAATGGAAGTCAGAGAAAGGTTTTAAACCATCAGAGGTGTAATCATATGTAGGAGGAACAGAAACAAATAGTATAGTATTTTAAGATAGAAATTAAGATGATGAAAGCAATTGTATAGGGCAACTGGAGAAGATCCAAGACTTCCCTGTGAATCATAGTGATTCCTGTGTGTGTCCATACATACAAACCTAGGTTGCATTATTTGTACAAATACTGCATGCTACACAGCACACATGGTAACAAAAGGGCTATAGCAGCTATTATCAAACAGATCGGCTCTGTTGCTGTTCACAGCACTTACCTTTGGGTTTTTTGCAGATAAATCCTTTTTCAGAAGAACATTCAATATTATCCCAATAACCAGATGGTGCAGTCATTTCAACACAGTGATGCTCTGCACTGGGCTCCTCTTCCTCCACCCAATTGACAAAGTCCATTGCAGCATCGTCTAACCACAGCCACTGGTCTAAAGTTGAGTAACATGTTGAAAAATAAATTTTTAAATATATCTCATGAATAGATAATTTAACTCCTTAGCTCAGTGTATGACTTCAAAACATGTAATAGTAAACCATTTCCAGTAAAAGATCACATCATTTTTCTTCTTAGAAGATGGCTGCTATGAAATGCTGCACCAAAATTGTGCAGAATTAGTATTAGCAAAATTATCGTTCATTAAATTGCATCCAAAAAAGCCACAGACAGAATGAGAAATGCCAGAGAACAAGAGGCTTTCTTAAAGTTACAACTGCAAAAGGTTTTTTTAGCATTTGAGTTGTGGAAAGTGTTTAAATTGTTCAGATTACAAAAGTAATGCCACAGCATGGGATATTGAAAATGCTACTCTTAGAATTCAAGCAGCTTTCATTGTGAGATCAGATTTGTGAAAACAGATTACATAAAACCACAGTGCATTATTGTAGAAGAAAGAACTTATCACCATTAAAGAAGAAGCATCTTAATTCTTTTCACAGCTAAATTATTCAATAAAAACTTCATAACAGTAAAATAAATATTTTTACTCATATATTCCTTCTAGAAATCTGTTTCAGGTTTATTTTGTAATTGTATCCAGACAAAACTTGCTTGGTAATAATTATTTGCTGTTGATCCGGTCCTTGATGTTTGTAATAGCATCCTTGATGTTTGCAATAGCACTTACTAATTAACCAAGTCCAGGAATCGCTCCACTCAGAGCATCCATCTGGCTATCATTAGTTCACCAAAAGCACTGTAAATCCTTATGAAATGCGCTAAAAGCTTCCATTACATTGAAGAAAAGTTGTGATTTAAGTATATGCAACACCTTGTATTAGAGTGAGGCTGGGCTAAATGAGCAGTTTTCCAGTGCAGCCCTCAGAGAGGAAATTATGGATACACAGACAAGCTCCATTTGGTGCTTTAAACAATCCCACTCGTGCCCTGTGATGCTGGATCCATGATCTACACAGACACACGGCCACTGGCCACCACCAGAAGGAGATCATAGATCAACTTGCCATAGGATTACATATACATCTAGACAGACATAGAGAGACAGACGGAGAGAGACAGAGTAGGAGAAAGAGGGAGGGTTTCTTTTAATAGTTATTTGTGTAATTATTAACTAGGTGTACAAGAAGACCCTTGATTCATCCAAATTTTGATAGCTGTTTCACTTGTTTAGCTATCTCAGGAGAGACAGGCCATGTCAAGCAAATGTTGTTACAGGAAGGTACACACAGGCATTTTTTGAGCCTTTTAGCATCTCGGCTTTCTTCATGGAGACAGAGACAACTTCCAACAATTAATGTGACAGTTTGCACTCTTAGACTTTATTGTGTTGGATTTGCCTCACATTCTAGATTTGCAGTTTTAGCATTTCCAAGGTGATGGTGAGAAACTTCATCTGGAGCTTGGCCAAAGAATTCAGCCCAATTATGAGAAACTGTCTTCTTAAACTATCTATATGTTTCATGATGGAAGACCTGGAATTACCAACCTGGCAGAGACATCCTGAGTTAGGCACAACTCAGAACTAGTCTGGTGACTAATACTTGAAGATTGTGTCAAAAAGACAAAATGTTGCTTTTCCTTCTGAATCATAGCTGTATCATAAAGTCATTACTTTATCACAAAATATTCAATGAAGTTGACTTGGAGACAAAAGCATCTGGTGCATCATGAAGTTCACTTCAAACTGTTAGTGTAAATTATCTGCTAACTCAGGTGACTTCCAACATAAAGTTTTCATAATGGATAGCAAGTGCCATCCTATTGTCTATATATATTGCTGTTACGCCTTAAAATAAAATAAAAATAGATGCTGTTAGTATCTTTTTGTAGAAAGAGTTAAAGTTATCCTTAATTTGCTTATCTTATGAAAGTGTTTTAAAGTAAGTACTGAAGGTAAGACATTACCAGCCACATTCCTGTAAAGTCCTATCCAGAAACCTCCTACTTTGTTTCCAAGAGGTTGTATTGTGTGTGTCAGAAAATCAGATTCTTCCTCATTTTCTACTGAAACCAGGGTAGCATCTGTAAGACATGAGCAAGAAAGAATTAGCAAGCACTTCTCTTCCTGTCTCCCCATCCCTTCTCACCGAGGAAAGAGCCCTGCAGCTGCTAGGTGAGGATGACTCCCAACCCGCTGCCCCAGGTTGCCCTGCCACAGCCGACACGGAGTCTCTGCTCTTTTTGTGGTCACAGCCCTTGTCTTCACACAGTTGCCCTTCCATCTTGAGGAAGAGAGAGTGCTGCATAAAGCCACCCATGCCAGTTTACTTTCATTGCACCCAGTTTTAAAATAGCTTCTTAGGTAATTGAAGGGGATCCCTTTTTTTTTAACATTTCTACCTCTTTATATATCTTTTATATAAAACTTTACATAAATCTTGTCAGTCAACAAAATACCTCTCACCTAGGTGGGCACATTCCAGGGAAGCCAAGGCCCAACTTGTCCTAGCTGACGATTCAATGTAGTAGCAGTGGCCATGGTAAGGAATCCAAGCTTGGAGATCATCTCCTTCAGGACAGTCTCCAGGCAGCTGAGCAGGATCAGTAGGGACTATAACTTAAGAAGTTATATGGTTTGAAATTGGTATTTTTTAATGACTAGCTGGAGCTAGAGTGCACATATATGCATTTGTACACACAAACACACACATAGGGATTTCTTTCACTTGGCTTTAACTATACTCACTTAGCTTTAACAACCCCTCAGCTGAGACAGTAGGGAGAGACAGACAATCAGGCCATGCAACATCTCATTTCTCGAGACATATTTCTCAAAGTAGTGGATCAGATCATACCCTGAAACACCTAATTAACCAATCTGACAATAATGTAAGGAAAAGAAATCCTAGTGCCTGTATTCTGGCTGTTGATGACACCTGTGTGTGACCTTATGAAGCTGTTGCTGTCCAGGGAGTCAGTGCATGTTCCCACCACTTACTTGCACTTGCACACAATCTCAACTGTGATTTTTGCTCACTTATCAAAAAGAGCAGAAGGCTTTCAAGACAGAGCTTCATCTAGCACACAGGGTTATGGTTACCGTCCGTGTAACTGTGTTTGTATTACAAGAGGCTTTTGTGCGCCTTGACATTCATGTAGCATCCAGTATCAAAAAAGCAAATTTTGCAGGGAAGTAGGCAGTATCCTGAAGCATACTCTTCCGAGGTTTTTAGCCATAGCAAAGTCCCTAGGATTAAGCTGATGAAAGGAATTAATAATGTGCCATTGAATTAATTAAATTCATTTGCTTACCATCTGATGTTTTACAAACTGAAAAGTAACTTTCATTGCAAGATTCTGTTTTCCAGGTACCATCAAGATCTAGATAGACACAAGCATATTTCTGCTTTGGCTCTCCTGCTGCCCAGTTAGTGTACCTAGTTTTCCAGTTGTCAGTCCACTTGTAATAGCTGCCACTCTGTAAAGAAATATGTTCTAGTAATAGAGATTACATAAACATGTAATTACATTACATTTGTTATATAAAAAACATTGACACATAAATGTCTTATAAATGTCCTATCTTTATCTGAGTTTTTCATCAAAAAAGGCTATGCTGCTGTATTTTTTCAAATACCATTTGCTGTACTAAGCAATATCACTGTATGCTGAATGTATGAGTTACATAAGAACTATGTATGAACAGTGTTCAACAGTGCACTAGGTATGAGTAGGGGAGGATTTGGAAGTAACACAGCCTAATATTATGCCAAAATATTGTAAGACTTTCAGGTGAGTCCGTTTTAGGTCTTTCAGCAACTCCAGAATCAAAAAAAGCAGTGATATGGAATTCAACCTCTTTGCTCTGCTTTGTTTAGAGTAAGGCAGTAAGTTGGTGAGTAAAGATTACTTGACATTAAAAACTCAAAATAATCTATAAAATATCTTTTATGCACATTTTTATTAATATAATAATATTTATAAGTAGCCAACCCAAAAGTTTAACTCTCCTGTATCTATGGTGACACAGTAACAGCTGCACATCCTGTCTTTTGAATCCCAGACTGCATCTTTATTTTTTGTACTATTTCTGTAGTTTTCTGTTTCCATGTATTGCTTCCCAGCATGACCTGTCTCTCCACTCCATTCGATGTGTATAGTCTTTGAGCAATTCTAGCAGGAATACTAGAAATCCATGCATGCACACAGCAAATCAATCCAGAAGATGGTTCCTACATGACCGATATGATTGCAGCAACCAACATAGTGCTAAAGAGCAGGAGAGCTCACCAAGCACCCCAACCTCCATCTATCCATCGCTCTTACCATATTGCTGTTAAGACCGATCCATACAGGTTTTCCGTATTTAAGTATCTGGACCCACAGGAATGAATGGATATAGGCATCTAAAATGCTGGCAAGCTCTGCAGATTTGTTTTGACAGTTTTTCCTGGCCTCTTCCCATTGCATTTCAGATGAGATGATTGAATAGCTACTGTCACCGTAACGGGCAACATCAGGCAATAGTTTTGTTGTTGTTGATTCAGGTTGTGTAGTAACTATGGAGAGAATATTGAACACAGGAATTTATCACACATCAATCTCTAACACAGAAGCTCTTAAAATAATAAAAAGAACAGTATTAGCAGTAAGTAAAAAACTGATTTAAGTTCATGAACAACTTTTTAATGAATAAATCCTTGTTACAAAGCATGAACAATATTTGCTTTTATAGAAAGCAGACTGAAATCCTAGCTACCCCTGAAGTGTAGTTGCTAGAGACCCGATTGCTACAAATATTTTACTCATAATATGGAGATTTGATCCCCTGTGCTTTCATATATTTTGCCTAAATCTGGATACCTGATTATGTTCCTTTTTCAGATCAATGGTGGAGGGGACATTGAGCTAGGGTATTAGACTATTTACTCATGTACTATATTATCACACCTTGAGCCTTTGATACCTGGTATTAGGTGATTACCAACTACTGCTTGCCTCATTATCCTGTCTGCAAGGCCATCAGAATGTTCTTCGCCTGTTTGAGCATCTGTTTTCATCCTTGGGATCAGCCATGTATCAAAACAGCAGTATCTGGGATTCAAGAAGATGTAACTGTCCTCTTAAAACCCTGTGTTTGCTGCACAGGGAGAGTGGGTTTCTTACAAGCAAGTTAGCTATGTTGAAAGCAAGAAGGCTGTACAAGCTGATTAAAGGAAGAGGACGGGTTGTCTTTGCTAATGGCATAAGAAAGGCGTAGAAATACTGCTTCATTATCTGGGCTTTGCCTGCTCTACTTCTATCCTACTGCTGGGCTTCAGGGATTTGCATAATGAGAATTTTACAGCAGAGGAGTCAACATTCATTACTCATTTGGCTGCAAAAAAACCCCAGTATTCTTCAACAGTGAAGAAATCTCCCCAACACAGTATATTTTAATAGAAATAATAACATATACAGGATGAGGGTTAGGAAAGGATTATCTGCTTTGCTCTGAGATAGCAAGGGGAGATTCCTCTAAGAACATGGTTTTATAATGCACTTAAAGAGAATGCTTGCCAAAAGCCCCATATTCCACTGAGAAGAAATCTGTTTCCACTTACTATTGTCTAGTATGATTCATAACTTAGACACAAAACCCAATTAACATAATGATTCATCTCTAGTAAGCTCTATTGGACAAACTGTACTTTTAAAATTGTCTTGCCCGGTGTTTGGTGGATTTTTGAAAGCCAGAGAGACTCAGAATGAGCTTCAAGAAACATAAAAAGAAACATATTTGTTTTCAAGGTGTTTTGTGTCATCTTATTTAACTGAGATGCTCATTTGATTTAGGAACTCACATGAATTCGTTTGGCATATATAGCCTCTCTCGTTGTCACAGCTATCATCCCTCCACTTCCCATCTGTCTTTATCATGAAGACACAGTCTGTCTGCAGAAAAGGACACACAGTGTCAGTAGAGGAGGCAAGGAGGAGGAGGTGAGCTGTGCAGCCAGCATTTGCATAGAGCAAGCATTTTATCTCCCATATTTCTAGGACAAGACTGGTGGACCAAATACACTCTGTGCCAGCAGTTCGTAGTCAAGTAGCAAGTTATCACTGTTAGATATCTTTGGTAATAATAATAATAACAACAACAATAATATTTTTTTAAAAATCCCTTCAGTTCCTTTATTTTTAATTGCTTCAAGATTTCCTTCCAAGAGATTTCCTGATTTCAATATTGGCCTTTCCAGGCTTTCAGTATTTCTTTTGATTTTTCTTTTCTCTACTGACTAACCTCTACTACCATTTCTTCAGAAAATGCAAGTGCCTTTCCTTTGAAAAAGACATTGAACTTTAACTCAGTGAGAAACCTTATTTTGGTGATATCCTTTTATACCACTAGAAACTAGTAAAACAGTATGGGAACATGTTCTCCAGGGAACATGCTCCTGAGGAAGAACCTCTTTACTGTGAGGGTGACAGAGTCCTGGAACAGGCTGTCCAGAGAGGTCGTGGAGTGGCCTGTGCTCTAGGTGTCCCTACTGGAGCAGGGGGGTTGGACTAGATGATCTCTAGAGGCCTCTTTCAACCTCAACCATTCTGTGATTATTCTGTAATGGAGCATATATAAAAAGAAAGACAAATTAATGTAGCAATAGTAACCTTAATTCTAATTTATGGTAGTTTTTCTAAGTTTGACTTTGCAATTTTAATGTTTGTGATAATGTAATTCTTGTACCTCATCTAACTGATGTAATATATGTCTTTTTTGGAACTTAAAGAATTAACATTTTGTAATGTCTCAGACCAAAAGCATGAGGTTCCTCTTCTTCAGAATGTTGGCCAAATATATTGGTATATTTAGAATGACTATCAGGTGACTTGCTAATAACCATGCTGTTTATAAAGGGACCTGTTTCAGCATCTTGCTACCCTGTTTAAAAATGTAGCTGAGATATTTAGGTTATCTAGATTTTCCATACCTCCACAGTCTTGTCTATCAGACTGATGTAATCATAATAGTCAAAGAAACTTTGTATTTTTTCTGGTGCACCATTAACCCAATTGGTGTAGGAAACAGTGCTTCCATCTGTCCATAGAAAGGTGGACTCTGCGTTGATATCATTCATTCCAATCCAAACATTAGTTACGGCATCCTTTAAATGATAGAAGAGGAAGGCTGGGGAGAAGCAAAGATTTAATATTAAGGAAACCTCATTATACCTTATCCAAAACAGGCAAATTGCACACATGTCCAGAACTGGGGCCATATTAAAGAGAAAACATTTCCCTCAACAGAGTCTATCTGCCTTTCACTAAATGTACATTAAGGCTGAAAAAATAGTCAAAGAGCAAAGAGTATGGAACAAATGAGAAAATATCTCCTTCCCCAACTTGTATGCACATATAATATTCTAACTAATCTTATTGCCAATAAGAGTGAGAAATAATACATATTCTGTTAGACTGGCACTCAAAACAGACTGCAGATTTCATAGTTTCATGCCAGCTGAGCAATGCTGAGCAGCTACTTCTTGTATGCAACAACCTAGCAAACCTTTCATCTTTTGGAGTTGAAGCCAAGCATGTATTAATCTGGCCAATACAAAACTTTTAGTAGACTGTCCTGCAATCTACTTTAGACACTATAGCACTTTCCTTAGCAGGAGATTACTATTTGGCTTTGTAAGAGATAACCAGTAACACATCCATTTCAACAGAGTTCATATATGTACCTTGCACTTGCTCATTTGATATGGTAGCCAGGTTTCCTCCCAGATCCATGCAAATGTTTCGTGCAGCATGCCATGTGAGCTTCCTTGTTATAGTGGAAGCAAATATTTTGAAACACTTAGGGAGGAAGAAAAGAAAAGCATGGGTCAAGTGCTTCATTCTAGTCAGCAAAGACAGAAACTGTGGAAGGTGAATAATGCCAATTAGCCACTTCACATATATTTCTCCAGAAAAAGGAAGTGGAGCAAGAATAATGACAAAACTAAGAATGCTAAACTTAAGTTATTAATGGTGTGCACATTCTTTCTCTTAGTAACCAGTTCTTTTTCAGTTTCACTGTCATACACAATTCACTGAAGATATTTTCTGACATACCTTGTTGTTAAAAAAAACCCAACCTTCTGGACATCCTCCAGGAGGCAATGGAGAAGCAAAAGTTGAATTGATAGAACTGTTACGCTTTTCACATATAAAATGATTGGCGGATCCACAGTTTATGTCATTCCACAAGCCTAAAAAAAAATAGATTTAGTCAACAAGTCAAGATGTTATATTTGTAACAGAACTAGCAAGAAATAATATTTGCAGCAATAATCTAGCACTTCTTTAATTTATAAAGAGGGCAATCTGTATGCTGCACACTGTCAGAGGCAGTAGAAGTGTGATGCATGACACAGGCAGTGAACTGTTGTTTACAAGCAGCAGATGTTTTTACACATTAGCGGCTGGGCACTGCTGCTGGGCTGGCATATAGCAATTAAAAATGAATAAAAGACAAGGAAGAAAGGGCAAATGGCTCAAAAGAAAAGCTATCATCATCAAATAATTTCATTCTACTTTTTCTCCCCCTCAGGGCATGTGAGTACATTAATTATAGGAAGACAGAGGATGAGAAAAAGAAAATGAAGATGTGATGAACATTTTCAAAGCAGTAAACAATTTAGTGTATTTTATATTTAAGGCTGCAGCTTGGTGTGAAGGCCAAATTATCACGAGAGCTTTGATGAGCTACCTGAAGCTCTAGTAGTAGCAGAGCTGTCATCCCTCATGCTTAATTTGAACTGTCTAACCCTGCTGCTTCTCTGCACAAGCTCCCCACTGAATCTGTTACCTGCTGGTGATCTGGTCAGTGGCACCACTACCCTGCAGGCAGCAGGGGAATATACCAGTAATCACATTTGAAAGGGGAATAGATGAGATAGGAAATACTGGATCTTACTGAGGGCACAATATGGTGCTCAGACATGTCTGTGGAACACATGAAATCTCTTGGGGGTCACCACTTCAAGTTGATGCAGTGGGTTCTGCATCTCTGGTTTCTGCATCTCTGGTTTCTAGGCACCAGAGGTTGGGGGTCACCACTTCAAGTTGATGCATTTTCTAGGGATTCAGTTGTCAGGCTAAAATACCTATTCCCATTGTCCTAATATATATCAGGTTTCTAAGCACCAGAGAACTAGAGCAGGATTCATTTATCTAAGTTGAAGTGTTTAGAGCCATTTGAGAGGACATAGCTTCCAGCTTTCTCATGCAGAGATGTTCCTCTGGAAAACTCCCATGGGATGACTCTAGGAAATCACAGGTAGCCATAGTCATGTACATTTTGGCATCTGAATACTACTCTAGGGTTAACTGAATTGCTCGTCAGTCAGCATTGGGTGTGTTGATGACATCTCCTTTTGACCATAATGAGTTTTAGGAGCCTAGCCCACATTCACACATGGTTATCAACTCAAGCTGAATGCTACAATTATGGTCCAGTTCAGGCATCAACATGAGGGCTTCTAGAGTCATCTGAGGCAAGCACAGGATAGGTTAAACATCTACATGGGGCCTGACAGATAAGACGTGGATCTGTGAGTAAGCTGCATTTTCTGAATCAGCATCTGAAGGATGCATTTAAAATGACACTAGCTGCCAATCTCACTTTTAGTGCCTTCATATAAACACAGAATTTTAGATAGGATTGCTGGATGAGTTGTTTAGAAATTATAAATGGGGAGATTGATTTCCTTCTTTTTATGCTGTTGAATTCCCATTAGTGTCATCTGAGCTGAAGAGATAAGGACAAGATGAAAATTAGCTCTAGAATTTGTTTTGCAATGTGTTTACATTCATTGCTCAAGACTGCCCTTATGCCTTTGAGACAAGCAGAAAAAAAAAGAAAAGAAAAACTTTAAATTTTTGCCCTCTTACCTATGTCTGACAACATTATTACACAGTTTTCATCATTATTTGCAAAGTTGGGTTCATTGGGAGCCCAAGCCACATAGGTCACTGGGGTCCCATCTATCCAGCTTAAAAAGAAAAGAGAAAAAAAAACAAATAAACAAAAAAACAGGAATTAACAGTTATTAATTAATGCACCTCAGCCATTGGATAAGAAACTTAAAAAAACATTTGCAGTTAAGAAAAGGTACATGACCACCAGCGGGAACTGACTGGCTAAAACTAGGACTTTATGGATTTTCTTTCCCTCACCTGATTATTGCAATTTAAACTAATTTATGCAAAATGTTACTGGTACCAAGCAAAAAGAAATACATTTTTCATTGATGGGCAGGAATGAATCATTTCTTACCAGAAACTATTATTCCCTACTCTAGCATAGGGAAGAAATGTAAATATTTTATTTTAACTGATCTGGTTGAATCACTTAGTTAATACTACATTTCTCACTCTGAGTGCATCTGATACTTTCATAGATGCAAGCAAATCTACTTATCTGTGGATTTTATTCTAAAGAGAAATATCTCAGTAGGTTATTTCTCCTAAGTCTTGTGTCTGGAGACAAAGAGGCATTCTCTCAGCTTTC